TCCAAAGGAAAGTCTTGTCACAAAGATTACATATGTGAAGTATGAAAGCCCTAGCACCAATCGTTCAGAAGTTATGGCCAAGGTTAGAGTTTTCAAAAAGTAGGTCAAACTCCAAGGTCAAAGGGTCAAAGTTGTAGGTATCCAAAAGAAGGTCTTGTCACAAAGATTACATATGTGAAGTATGAAAGCCCTAGCACCAGCTGTTGAAAAGTTATGGCCAAGGTTAAAGTTTTTCAAAAGTAGGTCAAACTCCAAGGTCAAGGTGTCAAAGTTGTTGGTATCCAAAGGAAGGTCTTGTCACAAGGATTATATATGTGAAGTATAAAAGCCTTAGCACCAACAGTTCAAAATTTATGGCCAAGGTTTAAGTTTTTTTTTAAAGTAGGTCAAACTCCAAGGTCAAAGGGTCAAAGTTGTTGGTATCCAAAGAAAGGTCTTGTCCCAAGAATTACATATGTGAAGTATGAAAGCCCTAGCACCAATTGTTCAAAAGTTATGGCCAAGGTTAAAATTTGGTAAAATTTTGCAAAACTCTGTCAAACTCCAAGGTAATGGTCAAAAGGTCAAATATGGTGGTACCCAAATAAAGGTCTTGTCACAAGGAATACACAAGTGAAATATGAAAGCCATAGCTCCAACCAATCAAAAGTTATGGGCAATGTTAAAGTTTTTGCGGACAAACAAACAGACAGACGGACAGGGCAAAAACTATATACCCCCGAATCTTCGATACGGGAGCATAAAAAGGGGGAGGCCAGAATCGAAAATCCTATTTCTCGTCGAGGGGGGTTTAGATTCCAACGTTTTCTTCAAATTTTATCAATACATTACCATGGGACAATTTGACTATATTGCAACAAAAAGTGGTGGGAGATCGGCCTTTCAATGAACATTTTCAACAGTAAAAGGTGTTGGAAAAAAGTGGGGAGGGGACAGGCCCCCGGCCCTGCCCCCGATACTATGTGACTGACAATGGAAATATAGTATGATGTTAAGACTTCTGACTGACATGGACATCATTTTCACAATGCTAATGACTGCTTTATAAAGTTTTAACTGCTGACAAAAGTTCAGATTTCTGATCGATTCAAAATTTGTTTTAATATACTGAGTGGTTTGTCTTCTTGTCCCCCGCTTTCGTGAAAGCGAGGGGACATTAAATCTCATTCGGCTGTCCGTCTGTCAGTCTGTCCCAAATTTTAACATCACTTTAAATTGGTCATGACTTTTGAAAGAGAAAAGATAAGGCTTTAATATTACACACATATACTATACCTGTGACAAAATAAATGTACTATGATTTTTGATCCTGTGACCTTGACCATGAAGCTTGACCTTTTTTTCAAAAATGTTATTTTTCCTTATAACTTTTAACTTATAACTTTTGATTGACTTTCATATTTGACATGTGCATTACCTGTGACAAGATGTTTCCGAGCATTCTATGATTTTTTACCCCTTTGACCTTGACCTTCATGTTTGACCTAATTTTCAAAAAATTAATTTTGATTGCTTTTGAATGACATATGATAAGGCGTTTTCATATTTGACACAATATGCCATAAATAATAGCATCTCACCCACTGAGACACCGAAAGCGGGGGACCACAATTCTTTGAATTGGCGTGTTATAATCTAGTATTTACATGTATGTTATTGATTCTAGAAAATAAGAAGATTTTATTGACAATCAAGAAAGAAATAAATAAAATAAATATTGAAAGACACGCTTTATCTATCCAATTGTAAACGAGAGACATAAATAACTTTTTAACTTGAAATTTTGTCTCTGAGCAAACACAGGAATATCCTGCACAAATATCCGACTTTCTGCCATAAAATCGACGCTTTATATACATATAGTTAAAAAGGGGGAAAATAATGTATTTACAATTATAATAAAACTGACCATGTTCTTTACATGTACTAGTACATAACTGTCATTAAAAGGTGTGGACTTATTTATTTATTTATTTATTTATTTGTTTTGTTTGTTTGTTTTTATATCTTAAAGCGAAAAAACCGACGACTCAATATAAAGCGTTGAATGCAGTGGAATCATAAACCACCCAGAAGCAAAGGGAAGGGGTGACTATCTCCGGAGATTGCCAATAAATGAATGTTAGACTAGGGTAAACATTATTTTGGACCTTGAACTCCTACACTCAGTTAGAATTTATTAAGTGATCTCCAATCCGCATTGGACTTTATGGAACATAAAGAAAAGTACACATAGTGACACCTACAGTAATGAATGCTTAATCATTTGGTTGTTGTGGTTTCTCTTAATAATACGTGACCCATTTAAATAACTAGATTTTTTAAAAATCTTTTTAAATAATGATATAAAAGTATAATAATAATAATTTTTTTTTTATTTAGATAAAGTTTTAATCAATGTTTTAATAAGATTAATGTTTTAGTTGTTGGTAGCGGATGCAATATCATTAAAGAGTCATATATTAGCGTAGATTTAGTTAAGTCAAGCAGATGTAGAAGGGATTTTTTATAATGCCAAGGAACATTGAATTAAGTAGAAGCAAGCGCACATGGCCATTCAAGTACATGTATAATATTGACTCCTAACGTTAATTACAATTAATTACAATTATATACCAGGCGCAGATCCAGGAATTTTTTCCAGGGGAGGAGGGGGGGGGGTTCCACCCCAGTCAAAAAAAAATCTAACCCAGAAACTTGTTGACAAGCGGGGGGGGGGGGGACTTCTAATGCTTCATACCTATTTACTTATTTCTTTTCATACCAACTTAACATAGGTCCGTGTTTTAAAGGGGAGACTGCGTTTTTTGTTTTTGTTTTGTTTTTTTTTGGGGGGGGGTTCCAAGGTCACTTTTTACTTGGTTTAGTATATAAATTTAATAACTCTGCAAATTCAGGACCCCCGCCACCCCCCCCCACCCCACCTCTAGATCCGCGCAGACTTCTAGATCCACGTACACTTCGCGAAGACTTACGTAGATTACAAGCCTTTTCTGGAGTGACAGTGACTAAAATCATAAAATCAGCCAGCTGTAGGGTAAAGGGAGATAACTTGAGTACGAACTGAAGTAGACATAGACTTAATATACATGTACATACGAGAAGAAAGAGTTACATATTTATGAAATAAACAAAATGAAACCGAGATGGAAGGCAGTGCACTAGCTGCAACATGAGCAAAGCAATTATAGGTCAATCCAAATAGACTTAATGCACATAAATCTATTCTTTTAGGTTCTGGATATAGTCACAAAAATGTCTCTGAATTCACAAAGTGACGTGTATCTTATTCCCAAATGCAAATGGAATTATGAATAAAAGCATCAATTTTGCATTTTCTAATTGGTCATAACACCAAATTTTCTATTTTAGTAAAAAATTGTAGGAAGACAATACTTACGTGGTATTGTAGATATTCTACTTTGCATCAACCCTTTTGTAATATGTTGTCTAAATTAGCATGCAATATCATTGCAAGATATCAACGATCACTTCTTATAAGAGACAAGAAAATTTGCTTATACTCAGTGTAACTTGAACTCCCTATTGTACCCAAAACACAACCCCAGGGTCATGATTTGAAACATTTTTCATTAGTTTAGAGAGGGTTCAGTGACAGCTAAGACGATTTCAAGGGGGAGTTAACTGGCCTTTTCTTAATTAAGATCCCCAAGAGTTTTCGCTCTTGAAAAGATGGATTAAGGAGAGAGGACAAATACTTTTTTTGTGATTTTAAACGTAAATAATGTATAGATACACGTTGGCCCCATGCATATACCCCCCCCTCTTTATCCACCCACCAACTCCAAATATATATATATATATATATATATAGAGAGAGAGAGAGAGAGAGAGAGAGAGAGAGAGAGAGAGAGAGAGCAGAAGTGACATCATTGAACAATGGTCAAGGAAATATGATATTTATCAGTATTACAGAAACTTAATATTTTTTGTTTTTACTGATTTCCCCTTACAGAAGGCGCTTTGAGTCATGTCGCTTTAAATTCTTTTCTCCTACTTTCAGTCAGCCTTATGATACAAATGCATCTACAGCTCATAGGTATATTCACTCCGGTATTGAACAGTTGACAGAGTAACCAAATGCTTATCCAATTCAGGTCATGTTTTCAAATTACCTTGTATTTTGGCTAAGTAGATTTTAATTCTGTGACACAGAAAGTGTTTGTATTGAACAATACATGTACATGCTGGCCACTAGACATTTCTGGAAGAACTCGAAGAAGAAGAAGAATTTAGAAAAGAGATTGCAGAAAGCATATGATATAGAACACTTTGGGGACTTTTTTTTTCATTTTGTTGAACAATATTAAATGGGAAATATGGGAGAGAGAGGGTGCGATATTTAGTCTATTTCCCTAATATATTTGGGATTTCATACCATATAGGCTATGAGCAAGATGAGTGTAAGTTTTTTTCAATCTGCCGGTAAACATGGTAAAAATATGGCCAAACAGTTGGGTGAGAACTCTGGATAATGAGCGGATCCAGATAAGTTAGGGAGGTAGAGCTAAGAATATCTTTTCGGATGGATACCGTCACACCCCCATCCCCCAACCGCCCCGTAAACATGACAAAAACAGTCGCCTTTACCATGTTTAAGAATTTCATATAAATCCTTATATTCAGTTATGTAAATGCAGAGAGCATGGAAATTACTTAAAAGTAGATCAGAGGAAGGGGTGAGAGATAAATGTTGGCGGCGGAATATGCAGTAGAGTCTAATTATTATTAAAGACCCTGTCCTCGCGAGTCCATATTCATCGTGTCCCGCAGAAAAAAATCCTTAATCCGCGCCTTTTGATCCAACCAGTGCTATTCCGACAACCACCCCCGCATATTTATACAGCAGAACATAAAACCACAACAAAGAAATGAGTGTTACTTTCCTCATTCAAATACTTCATTCATGACAATTTTCACGATTTCAAACACTTACTGAGGCTAAGGACTTTATAAGTATTGTCGTAAAAATTAATCTGCCGATCGCCACTTTCCGGCAGAGAGTGGTGAGATTGTGGTGGGGAAACTTGATACTATTTTTACCATGGTGTTACGGAGGAGTTGAATCGGTAAGTAATCTGCTTTTTATCGCTCTTCGTTCAGCTACAAAAGATTTTTTTTCAATTAAAAAAAAAGGAATAAGTTTCCCAGATCCAAAAACTTCTCGTGTTTGTTTGGCATTCTTTGACACTGTTTGCTCAATGCAATGAGGACACGAGCTTCAAATGTAGTAATTTGATAATGAGCGCGTAATTAAGCACCTTTAATTAATATTTATTGTTCGATGGTTGAAATCTCTTGATTAACAATAGGAAATAATTAAAACTGATGACAAAACAAATGACATTACTCTGTAACGTTATAATATTTATTTAATCAACTCTATCTGTGGGAATTTGCAAGGTTAAATATTAAACTGAAATAAAATCTATTTGGCATAAGAAATATTTTACTAGTATGTCATAAATTGATTTTTTTTTCAACTTTAAACCGTTGGAAATATGGATTTTGATTTCTCTCTTAGGCTTGTCCTTTGCTAGGAGTAGGGAGCACCATCTTTTGCCATCAGAAATCTGGAAGCAGTGCTGTTGAACAGTGTTCCGTGGACAAGCCGTTCTTTTTGAATTATCAAAACTACAGACTCTGTGCACTGACAGAACAGTATTCAGATTTATGGGGATTTTTACATAGTATTGAACTAATCAATGAAAATGGATTCAAGTACTTTGTACAAAGTTTTCCTATTGATATCTTTGATAAAAGGTAAGTTTCTAGTAGGAAAATATTACCCTGCAAACAAAGGTCAGTTTCTTCCTTCGCTTGCTGGATTGCTGAAAAGTCGATCATGTGATAAACTTTTTTTTGCCTGCCAGAATTTTAGAAATTGGCAGAAACATGTGTAAGGCACAGGTTTTGGTGGTTCTGTTTCCCCCAGTCAATGGATTGCTGGAAGTTTGCCTAGACTGAGCTGAACCATGATGATAAGGAGAGAGCCCTCCATAAGCTGTTAAGAAGCATTGTCAGCAGCATATATTTACTTATTCAGCATGTCTACGGAGACATATGCTGATCTTTTTTTCATTGACCCATTGAAGACTCCCAAAATACCTCTCCATAGATCTATACTGGATCATCTGTATTTTAAAGAGATGAAGTTATATAATTTTCAAACTGCTCCACACTTCCCTTCCATTTATTCTCAATTTTGAATCTTAAAGGCTTAAAAAAATGTTTCTTAAATCACATATGGTAGATGCAGATTTTCCCAACTGGTGCGTTTTAGATGTGCACAGTAATCTGAATTATTCTTGTTCATTTCAGTAACTTGGCAAACACTTATGAATGAAGAAAAAATAACTTATTTGAGCTGAAATATTAATATTTTGCCTGTTTAATAAAATAACTCTGTGATAAATTGAGTCAGAAACCAGTTCTTCTTTGGTCTTGATGGTACTCTGTAGGTGCGAAGGCTTTGAGGATTAATTCTGTGTGGGATTTAATGGTTTGCAGACAAGCCTCCATTATTTTCTCAAACTACCTAGGCTTGAGCTTATCTTATCTGTTATCGAAGCTGTGGAGATTGGAAGGTTTTTCTGCCTGACCTAAATAAGTTCCTTATCTTAATTCATCCCTCTCCACATAGTACCACCAGAGAGCTAACAAAGCAGACCCTTACACAATTACTATATTTTACTTTATGTCTGAGTATATATATAAGCTGTATAAGAATTGAATGAATGGTGATTTAACATGAATAATCTAGTCTAGAGATCTGACTTAACAAAAAAACGTATTATGATTAATATTTTGGGAAATACATAATATATATTTATTATACATGTATTTATTAAGGTAACATATGACATTTTAACACCACAAAAAACTCTAAAATTGTAAAATAGCAATTGTGTGATTGTTAGTGTACAGATTCTGTTTGATAGATGTACAGAATAATAGATGTCCTGAATTAATTTTTTTTATGTTCGCTTTGTTCATATTGTACTAACGCATGCAAGTTCATGGTATTTTATTTTTATGTGCATGAGTGACTGACCCCTTATTTTTGACATTGTACATTTAACATCTGCATGCACTAACTACACCTCTGTCGTCTGATTAAAAAATTGTCCAAATGTTATGATGGCTGTTGAATAACCAAGCACATGCAGTTTTCACTGTTGTTAGTAGCCAGGTGACATTCTTCAAAGGATTTTTTTTAACTCTTATTACCTTTTTCATGTGATTAATGCCTTGTAAATAAAGTCAAGAGAAAGTTAATCAAGTTCTGCCAAGAACCTGTTAAGAAAATAAAATACCGATGAATCAGAGCCGTACATAAATTGAACAGCGTCAATTATGCGACTCATGTCGTTTGGGGCACTTGACATACATTTTAAATGTGAAAAATAAAAATTTCATGTTGAATGAATTAATATAACAGTGGATTAAAGTCATAAAATCAATAGCAATTTTTCAACAAGAAATTCAAAGGATACTCCAATCTAAGACTTGCTTTAGGTCACAAAATTTAAAGGTCTTTATGCAGGTGCAGGAAAATTGGAAACCAATTTAAAACTGCAATACAAATAATTATTGAACATAAGAATCACTAATTACAAATATATTTAAATAATTATTTCATAAAAGCTAAGAAAAATGTGTTCTAGCTGGTATGATTGATATGAAAATAAATATCATCTGCAGTTGTATCAAGTGCATGTACATTGTATTTCATTAAGATTTAATTTCAAAAACAAACTATTTTATAAGTCCCTAATCCCACCATTGTGATGGGAATTAGGTTTTACAATAATTATTCTGAATTTGTTGCTATGCTGTGGGAACATCTGATTCAGTAGCTGAAATGTGTTGGCTTGTCATTCCCCCTGTCAGATTATGTCCCCATTAGACCTGTGGTTTACTGATAGCTGCCACATCTCATTGCCATCAACTGCTAACAAAGACAGATGGCTCGGAGATTATCAGGGGGGAAATTGCTTTAAAGGGGAAATATGTAGAATTTTGATACGTGCCCTAAGTGATTAAAATCTTGGGTAGAGTTTTTATGTTTTTTGGAATATAAATGACCTTCAGCATGTTCAGAAGCAGATTTAAAGGGGAACCATGTAGAATTTTGATACATTTTGAGTATAGTGTTTTTATGTTTTTATGGATATGCATGTATCACAGAATAGCTAACATTCCAAACATTGGATAAGGGGTCTTTATTCATTGTATATCAACACTTTCATTTGTAAATGATGTATAGGTACTCCTTGTTTTTATGTTTACAAACTCCACACATTATGATTCTCATAATCTACAAGGAGAAATATTCAGTAAGAAAACATTCCAAGTATTTAATATGTGTCATAAAGCCATTTAAGAACAATGTGAAAGCCATTGAGAACATCAACTTAAGACCTCTTGTTCTCCTCTTGAATGGGTTCAGCTTAGGAGTCATGTTGGAAGTGTTAGAAGTTGTGATAGTTTCCGATCTTCAAGTGCAGAATCTCAGAAAGAGTTCATAAGGAACTTATAGGACAATCATAAGTAAACATACATATGCAACTAAACAAAAATGTTTTTATGTATGCCATTTTTAATTTTCATGACTTTTGAAAAGAAGTTGATGGCACTTGAAATCATATTTTGCATAATGCATACCGATATAAGTAAAATGTTACATGTAGACATCAGCTGATAGACACATGAAACAGTCCACTAGACTACATGGTTATCAAGACTTTTTTCTGCATGGATGAGTCAAGAATATAAGCTAATGCATTTAAAAAATGGCCTTTTTCTGCACAAGTATTAAACTGTTAGAAATGTAGTTTTCCTTAATGTGTAAATTTAATAAAGTAAAACCAGATGGGGTCTTGTTACAGTGAATGTTCTTTTCATTTTAATGTATAAAAGTCAAGTCATGTTCATACTGATTTTATGGGAAAAGAAAGAATTATGACTAATACAGTCTACCCAGTAAAATTTATATTGGCTTAGTGGACATAAATAAAAGAAAATCAGCACACTGACAAAGGTTTAAGGTTAAATTAAGTGTGAATAATCAGTGTATAGGTATAATGAGAATTAGAGATTTTGTGATAAGTATGTCAGGTTAGGAATTCACCACCATATGGCCTGTCAAATTACTGTCTGCAGTAATTCTAGAGTTTTACTGAGTCAGTGAATCAGAAGTGTTAAGGGTTTAAATTTCTGAATTTTCTATCAGCAAAATGTACACTTTTCCCTCGGTTGTTATTTGATGCCACTAGAATGAAGAATACAGAGTTATGGGGTCCTGGGGTAGTACTGCATATATTGACACAAACTTTAGAATTCTTAACAGAACAAAAGCAAACATTTCAGCAGTTTGTTTATTTGTAGTGTTGAGGGTTTTGTTTTTTGTTAAAATAATAGTAGTCTTTTCTAAAATTTATTTGCAAATTGTGTATTGATCTGAAAGATGGAAGTTTCCTTATCTGATATTCCTTTGCTTTGAGGTATGATAGCTCAAAGTAATGGATATTTATTCTGATGATTACTGGGTTATACCAATTATGTGACACACTCTCTGAACAAATATTTACATACAGCACAAGAATATGATTGAAATACACTGGTCCTTTTTACAAAAAAATCTTATGACTAAGACAAAAATTTTCAACAAGTACCTAAGCTGAAGTAGGTCACAAAAAATCTTACACTTTGATTACATTGGATAAAAAGCTTTAATAAACAAATAATTACAGTATTATAAAATTGTTATCTTAGTTGTAAGCTTTTTTGTGAAAAGGACCAGTGGTCATTTCTGCTGAACATGTCAATGAGACCAGGGAGTGTTAGGTTACCAGTGTATAAATTTTCCTAGTAAAAGTGTCTTGTACATGAAAATGTTTAGTTAAATAACTACAGGCTCCATAAATATTAGTATAAATTAGGTACAGATTCTGTCAATTGTTCATATGTATATGATACTTAGCAGTCTTTCTATAACCTTCTGTATACATGTATTGTAGGATCTCACTCCCAGAGGCAGCCTAGGTGTGAAACAGGCAGCTGTTACCCTGCAACGGGTGACCTCCTCATAGGACGCGAGGCTAACCTGACCGCCTCCTCTACCTGTGGTCTGCGGCGGCCAGAGAACTACTGTATTGTCAGTCACTTGGAGGAGGACACAAAGTGTTTCACATGTGACTCCCGCCAGCCTTGGTCAGAGTACCACAGAAACAGCCATCGAATAGGTAACATTGTGTCGTCATTCCGCGACAGGAAGCTGCGGTGGTGGCAGGCAGAAAATGGCAAACAGCAGGTTTACATTCAATTGGATTTAGAGGCAGAATTTCATTTCACTCATCTTATCATGACTTTTAAGACCTTCAGACCAAAAGCTCTGTTGATTGAGCGTTCATATGACTTTGGCAAAACGTGGAAGGTTTACCGATATTTTGCCCAGCGATGTGACGAATCGTGGCCTGGAGTGAAGAGATGGCCACCCAGAGATTTGTCAGAAGTGATCTGTGATGATAGATATTCTGATGAAGTACCATCTACCGAGGGGGAGGTAAGTAAAGTTAAGGTTAAATGTTACTCAAAAACTCATGCAGACCAGAAAAAAATTACGTTTATTCCCTATGACTTGACCCACTCACTTTACTCACTCTCACTCACATGGTCTTTTAGTTCTTTTTTTTTTTTTTAATTTATTTTCTAAATCTTGTATAAAATTTATTGATTTATTATTTATTAACAAACAAGTTAACGGTGTTGATGGTGTTGATGGTTGATTTAGAGGATATTTTGATGAATTTGTCTCTCTCAATGATGATCACAAATTTGAAGTAATGAAATATAACCCAGTAAGAGTTTAATCTAAAAAGGAAAGATTTTCTATTGACCCTAATATTTAGCTCACCTTGACTACATTGAGATGCGAAGAGGCAAACCATAGGCTTTAGTGTCTCTGATAAGTTTTAAGTTTTAGAAGCAGCTCCATCTTCCATTTAACACATCTGAAGAAGCCTTACTGGACCAAACATGCAAGGATACACTACCAAACATATTTTGGAAGGTTATTTTAACTTATCATTTCATTAGTGTGTTCTCGCATAAATATAAGCCCAACCTGAACCAAAATTGCAGGGATGATGCTTCTAGAGATGCATACTACCAACCTTGCTTTGGTTGCTGTGTTGCAGAGGATGGGTCAGGTAGTTATTGGAGCAGGTCAGGTCCATTACCAAGTATCTGTATCCCTACCTGAATAGAGATGTATCCATGAAAATGGATGCAAAATACTGTAGTCTTGCTTCAGATGCCATATTTATTGGATGTTTAACTAAAACAACATAATGATGAAAATAACTTTTGTGTTTTATTCATTCTCTGTGAGATTTCATTCACTGAGGCAAGCCTCATAATCTTTGTTTACAAGTCCTATGTTTTAAAGCTTGATGGCGGAATGATCCACATCAAACAAACTCTTGGGTTTGCAAGCAGCATAAACTACAAAAATCTCATAAAAGTTTGCAAGCCCTTATGTTCAAATTTCCAATAAAATGAACTTCTTGATCTTCAATTTCTGAATTGTACAGGAGGTTAGCAGGCTATACAATTGTAAGATATCCTGTTAAACGTTAGGTAGGTATGAAGCAGTGCCTCTAACTTGTTTAATGCAAAACAGAACATTACCCTTTGGTATTGTTGCAGACAGCAGATTCATATGCAATATGTAAATGAGCTTTATGTTGTGTACAAAGATAACCTTGAGATTAAACTTCAAATGATGACACCCAGACATATTTTAGGCTTATTCTAGCTCAGATAAGTTTCTCCCTTCTTTGAGCTTGTGTATTAGGTACCTTCATTCATATGTACATATATATTTTTTTTACAAATATATCTGTCTGGTTGAATGCCTGAACATCTGTTTACATTTCAATAACTTTAGAACAAACTTGATAGTAAAACAAGGGTAATCAAAGAGTGGCAGGGAGGGTTTGGGTAAACATTGAGTTAGGAACTGTCAGAAATGACTGGCAAGTGGCTTGTGTACCCAGCAGACGACTTTGATTGTGGCCATTGTGGGACACAGCTGGAGGGTGATTTAAGGTCGCTCGGCCCTGCAGGACAATTGAAGAGTGGTAAATCAGAGTGTGCTCTCTATACAGGGGAGGTACAGACGGGTACATATTAACCTGCAAGATCATTTCACCAGAAACAGAGCTGGTATGGGGTCTTACAAAGTGACACTCATTTGGATGAATAAATGTTAAGAATTTAGTATATACATTACAGTACATGTTTATAATTGTTGAGGAAAATTTTGAGAAAGACTTAGATTGCTTTTGAAAATAGTACATATAATCTATGGTACAGATATGTATACTCTGAAATATTATGAAATTAAAGGCAGATGACATTTCTCTTTGAGGGTAAATTTTCAGATGTTGAAGCATCAGAAACTTGAGAACATTAGCAACTTGATATAACAATCAAGTTTCAACTCCAAATTAATTTTCCATGGAAATTTGAGAACTGGACAAGGAGAAAGCAATTTCTTTGTGTAGATGATTGTTTAGACATTGCCAAGAAATTGATGATATCAGAAAGTTACACTCAAAAGCTGTGAAGTATATAAAGGTTCAAAGCCACAAGTCAACCTCAATGTGGGGGAAATTATAACTACAAGGACTTAAAATATTTGGAAAGATTTGGGGCTGGATTATGATAAACCTTGTTTATTTAAATCTTCCGTGGACATTTCAAGTGACCATTTAAGAGCAAATGATCAGGTGAAAGAACAACACCTTGTAGGTAAAATACACCTTGACCTGATTGCTACCAGGTAAAACAGCTCAGTGTCAGGTGTAGACCACCAGCTAACCAGACCTATGGGGTCACAATGCCATAAAGAAAAAAAAATCAGAGTGACCTTAAAAAGCCGTGTGGAATGTCAGTCAACTTTGTAGAGAAATATCAGTAACAGTAAATACACAACACAGGCATTGTGTAGCCCCACCCCTCAGGCCCCGGGGGCAAGGACCATGAAATTCACAGTTGTTGATTTAACACTTAAATTAATTCGAAATAATAAAAGCAGAAACTAGTCTTTTTTCATAGAATCAAAGAGAATTCATTAGACTAAGTGTTTAAGATCCGAAAATACAATAATGAAGGTGTACTTGAGTGGAATTTTTCTTTGGAATTACAGGAATGGAACATGACGTTTGAGTTTCAGTATTGGTTCAAGTGTTTTCCAATATTTCAGTTTTATCAGGGGTATTAAATTCTTTATAGATGTAGGTCAGGTATATTATCTTAACCCTTTTTGCTGACATAGTTAGAATGATTGCGACAACTTGCCAGTATTATAACCAGGCAGCTAGCTACCAACTGTCATTTTATAAGCTGTCACTCTGGGGTTGAAGGTTAACTCATGCTTCATCACATAAGGTGTCTGCTTCATGTCTTTAGCAACACTATAAATCATAATATGCATGCTATTTACAAACTTAGTATGAAAAGAGAAAGTTATTTTTACTGTCAGAAGCATTGTTGGAGGTTTCTTTCTTTCTTGATTGTCTGATGGAGTATGTTCTCAAAATTCTGATATTTTTTTTCTCCTCACAAAGTAGTTTGTGAAAGTATACCAGTGTATATGTATGCACTAGAAAGCAAAGAAGAAAATTATCTGCCCTGTGTTTGTAGATAGGACTACCTCAAATATCAGAATTTTCTGCTGATAAGAGTTTTTCTTGGAAGCTGTGTAGTACAGTGATTGTTTACACACACTTGTATGTGTATAAAGGGAGCCCCACCCATTGCTATATGGTTGTTAGAGGGTATTCTATTCACATCTCTCACACAGGAATCATTTTATCTGTAACAGCTACAGCTGCAAGTCTAATCATTCAGTCTGAGTGGTGGGATAATCTATACCTTTCAATCTAGCCAGGCTTGCATCCTTTGTTTTTTACATATGTGTGTATTTGCACATTAAGTTATAAAGTATTGGCCATTGCAGATGAATCAAAAATGATAAATTGAATTGAGTTTGGTGTGCAACTGATCATTCATTGAATTTTATGAATTAATTATGAAATCCAGTGGAAAGTTGAACTTCTTAGGTTGTGTACTATATATTAGTAACCCTGTCTTTCCGAAGTGTCACCATTTAATTTTTTTTTTTTTTGACAAATAGTTTCTTATATCGTAAAAAGACTTAAATTGGCACACTCAGAATTTAGCAGTGAGTCTTTGGAGCCAAGCTTTTACATGTATTCTATTTAATTATCAGTATTAACATGTACTTATAAATTAGCAGACAAGAAGCAGTGCAAAGGCGCTCAAATATGATGAATGCTAAAGTGAGTAAGTTAACTTAGCGTTTAATTGGTCAGTAGGTACCAGCTCCAGATAATGTAGTATTTACCCTATAATGGTCTCAGAATTCTGCTATAAGCATAAAATAAATAATGAAAAAGGCTTATACCTGTAAATGAATGCTGATTGTGTAATCAGTATGTTATGTAAACAGTTTTAAATATAGTGCATGTTGACCTTCATAAAGCAGATTTTTGGCAAGTTTTAAAGATGAAATCCATATGTCTGCAGTGGTATGGAATTCCAGTGGAGCCGAAACTCATAATTATATAATAAATAGATGCAGGGGGCTAAATGTGTACACCAGCAAAACACTGACACATCAATAGACTATTATGTCTAGTCCGTCAAATCCATGGGAATGCCAATTATGAATATTTATTTTCTCAACAAGCATTGTTATATTTTCATTACTTTGTATAGAATGGATATTGAGTGGACTTTAAATGTATTACTCAATTAAATGTAAATATCTCTTTGAAATGTACACATTAATTGTTGAATGTTGTGACACTTGATATTTATAAGTATTAAAACCTGTATACCAGGTATGTTGTGTGAGCTTGGGTATATATCAAGGCATGGTATTTTCTGGAGATTGACTTTATTTTCCCAGGAATTATCAATTTTCTGCATTTACATTTTTAATTGATAAGCTGTATACCTAAACTGAATTGAAACCTGCTCAACTGCCAGTTCAGTTGAAATAATATTCCACAAAGTCAACATGTGTGGATTAACTTGTTTTTAGTGTTTTCTGTAAAGATCGAGATAAAAAAAAAGAAAATGTGTTTTCCCATACCCAAACTATAACTCGACAGACCCTTGAACACTCGGTTATCTTAATTACATGATCTTGAGTCAAGGAGAAAGTTTCAATGTCAAGGGATTGAATATAATTCAGTGAACTTTTACAAAGGTATTGCCCTGACAATATTTGTAGATTTCAAAATTTCTTTACCCATGCATTGACCTTGATCTGTGAGATGTCATGACTTTGATTCAAAATTAGATAAACATTTAGCATAGTGTTAAGGTTGTAGGCAAGAAATAATCTTAAAAGTATTCACTCCACTGACTCCAGTAAAGAAAGCTATATATACATGTATGCATATCTATGACACACTTCATTGCCTAGTAACCTTGACATTGAATATATGACCTTGCATGAGTCAAGGTTATGACACACAATTAGCAGTCAGGGGTGAGACTGAAATCAGTCATATTTAAAAATGATTGATAATTGTCATTTCTTCTAACTACATAAGGTACATGTTTTTATTATTTTTGTAAATATGACTTGTTTTCATCATATTTCCATTCCCAAGTGAATTCTTCTAACCCATTTACTACAGTAATAAGATAAAGTACACTATCCTGCCATGGACCCATGTGTAGAGAAACATCTTGACTAACAACTGAAACCAAAATAAATTAGTGCGCCCCGTAAAACTAACGAGATAATTAAGTGCGCCCAGACCTAACAATTTGATGAAAAATGATGAAATACAGTCATATTTAGTTTTAGAAATAACTCTATATTTTAAAATAAACTCCAAATAGTTATGGCTGTTTTTCATCATTATTCTACAAAATGATGAATTTTAGTCATTTTTAAAACTCAAGTTTATGACTAGAAACCATCATTTTTAAAAATGATGATTTTCAGTCTCACCCCTGACTGATTAGGTCATAGGCAGTTACTGTAATATACATCTAGCAAACTTAAAATAAATTTTGATTGATATGGTTAAAAAATTATAGCCTCATGGGCATGGTTTTGTGTTACTTAGACAGCAGGATCCAAGGCAAACAATTACATACTTCTATCTCTCCCATTATCAAAACTGTTATTTTGATTGATACTTATTAATGATTTGAAGACTTGGTATTATATATGCTGAAGCCTGTAATGCTCATATACTTAACCTGAGTTAGTCTTAACACTGTTGTGTGTGTTTTGTAGGTGATATTCCGTGTCCTTCCTCCGTTTATCCGGATAGAGAATCCATATGATGAAAAGGTTCAAGACTTACTGAAGCTGACTAATCTTAGAGTGAACTTGACAGAACTCCATGGATTGGGTAGGTATACCATGTATACTGTAGCTGGTGGCTGCTTAGTGATCTCCATCCTTTTGTATCAATTTATTAAAATTGTTTCGCTAAGTTGATAAAAGAGATTTTTTTGTAATTCGTGTTGAAGTCACACCTATAAAAGAAGTTCATGGCCGCTGCAAATGTCTTGAATTAGTAGTTGTCATTTTAAATGTTAAACATGAAATGTGTTTGTGATGAACATTGAATATATGCCACTATGTTGTGAATAACATATTTCTGCTCAGGTTGGCTGTTCTAGATCAAGTATTCATGGTATTCATCAAAGTGTTTTTTGTCAAACCTTTTTACATTTTATTGGTTTATATATATCCATCTTTATTCTGATAAGTGGGCTAGAGAGACTTTTGTTATTAACTTTTTGTATGGAGTTTGAACACCTTGAAATTTCTCACTTATTGAATCAGAGGGGTTGTTGACATGTGAAGAAATTGAATGAATTTATATGTAGGATGATGGCTTTAACTTTTGAATTTTTTTTTTTTTTTGAAGTTGATACACAAGTACATGTATTGAAGAAGGTAAATTTAATTGTAGGAAGATTTGGTCCAATCTTTTGCAGAAAAAAACCAAAGTATATTTTGTTTAAATAAAATGACAACATTAAAGAAAATATGTACCTTGTTAACTTGGTTAAGTTGATAAAGTACTTAAAATTGAATGGCAGTTAATTGATAGAGAGGATTGTTGACTTTGTGGAATGTTAATGTATTAGATCTGACTGGCAGATCAAAGTTTAGATAGACCTGTACATCTGTACATGTCACTGACAATTAGATATAGTAAGGTAAACAATGTCTGGGTCACTGAAACAAAAGTTTACACTTCACGTATCAAAAGTTTTTATGTCACCGTTAGGTTGTTGAATGGTATTGAAATTTGCGGTTTGTTTGAATAGGTGCTTTGGCTAAAGGCAAGTTTCTAGAAATTAATGACTATGGAAAAAAAAAAACAAAAAAAAAACAAAACAAAACAAAACACACCACAAAAAATAGATTGGTAAGGACTTGTGTTTCCATTGCCACAGATGTTACTGGATACATTTTTGTCAACCTATATGATTTGTTATGCCAGACATGTATGTCATATGAGTAATGTCACCATAACAGTACATCCATAACATGTGTTACATGTCTGCTTTTTTGTATACTTTATAGCAGAAAATGGTTGATTTCTTCCATTGCTCAACAATAATATTTATGTATCTTTGTCAGTTGTGTACATGTGTGTATGCTTTCTGTTTTAAATTCATAAAAATCTAATATTTCATTACCTTAATTTTGCTATATTGAAGCTGTAGAAGAGAATTACTATCTCATACAAAAGTAAATACATTTGTACAATGTGTACCTTTACTACAGCACAATGAACAAGTGGTCTGAATAGCATTTACTTGTTTAGTAGAAAGGTACTTAGTACATGTTGAAAACCAGATCTGCAAAATTATTATTACACTTTACAAAGTTTGGAGATGCACCATTTCTTTTGTAGGTGACACCTTACTGGACAGTAGACAGGAAATTAAGGACAAATACTACTACTCTATGTACGACATGACGGTCAGGGGAAGCTGTAGCTGTTACGGCCATGCCTCCAGATGTGAACCGGTAGCTGGCTACAACATCAGGCCAGACATGGTAAGTTATAGAAGCAGTCTAAAATATGACAGAATCTAGAGTAACATGAGAAATATAAATGGTATAGGGTGAAGGGTACTTTTAACTGAATTTTGTGGTACATGTGTTTTGCATTAAAATCAAATCACAAAAAATAAAGTCGAAAATTATTCAAATCCTTATATTTTGTACAATTTGCAAAAATTAAAGTAAAAACTTGAATGCTACCTTTGACAAGTTTTTAAATTAAAAAGAAATATTAAGCTGCAGAATTCACATTTTAGATACATATCCATGTTTTTAGCTCTACTGGTCAGAGACCAGAAGAGCTTATGCGATAGTAAGGTGTCCGTCGTCCGTCCGTCTGTCTGTCTGTCTGTCCGTCTGTAAACAATTTTTCAAAATGCTACTCCTCATACAGTTTTGGTCTGATTTCAGTATAACTTGGCACACAAGTAGACTACACTAAGATACATAATTCTGTGTATCGGTTTTTGATTTCAATGAACGGTGTTGCCATGGTTACTAAAAATAGAAATTTCTGTGAAAAACATTCAAAATGCTACTCCTCCTACAGTTTTGGTCTGATTTCAATATAACTTGGCACACAAGTAGACTACACTAAGATACATAATTCAGTATATCGGTTTTTGATTTCGATGAACGGTGTTGCCATGGTTACTAAAAATAGAAATTTCTGTGAAAAACATTCAAAATGCTACTCCTCCTACAGTTTTGATCTGATTTCAGTATAACTTGGCGCGCAAGTAGACTATACTAAGATACATAATTCTATATATCGGTTTTGATTTTGATGAACGGTGTTGCCATGGTTACTAAAAATAGACATTTCTGTGAAATACTTTCAAAATGCTACTCCTCCTACAGTTTTTATCTGATTTCAATATAACTTGGCACACAATTAGACTATACTAAGATGCGTAATTCTGTGTATCGGTTTTTTATTTCAATGAACGGTGTTGCCTTGGTTACTAAAAATAGAAATTTCTGTGAAATACTTTCAAAATGCTACTCCTCTTACAGTTTTGGTCTGATTTCAGTATAACTTGGCAAACTTGTAGACTACACTAAGATACATAATTCTTTATATTGATTTTCTGATTTCAATGAACATTGTTGCCATGGTTACTAAAAATAGAAATTTCCTTGAAATACCTTCAAAATGCTACCCCTACAGTTTTGGTCTGATTTTAGTATTACTTAGCTCACAAGTAAACTACACTAAGATACATTATTCTCTGTACCAGTTTTGGATTTCGATGGACAGTGTTGCCATGGTTACTAAAAATAGAAATTTCCTTGAAATACCTTCAAAATGCTACTCCTCCTACAGTTTTGGTCTAATTTTAGTATAACTTAGCACACAATTAGACTACACTAAGATACATAATTCTTTATACCAGTTTTGGATTTCAATGAACGGTGTTGCCATGGTTACTAAAAGTAGAAATTTTCCTGAAATACTTTCAAAACGCTACTCCTCCTACACTTTTTGTCTGATTTCAGTATAATGTGGCATACAAGTAGACTACAGAGATACATAATTGGTGTTATTGTTTTTTGATTTTGTTGAATGATGTTGCCATGGTTACTTAAATCAAAATTTCTGTAAAATTGTTTTAAAAGGCTACTCCTCCTACAGTTTTAGTCTGATATAATAATAAATCTTGCTACAAAAGAGACTAAACCAAGGATCATTATTCTGTTTATTGCTGTTGCAAAGTTTCAAGTCAAAGTGCTACTTTTATCTTCCTTTATAAATACAACCAGTAGAACTACAGTCTCGTCAGAGACTTCTGGTTCATACTTAAGTTTGAAAAATAAATGTTCATACTGACAACACGATATCCTTTTTAGCTCACCTGAGCTGAAAGCTCAAGTGAGCTTTTCTGATCACATTTTGTCCGGCGTCCATCTGTCTGTCTGTCCGTCTGTCTGTCTGTCTGTCTGTAAACTTTTCACATTTTCGACTTCTTCTCAAGAACCACTGGGCCAATTTCAACCAAACTTGCCACAAAGTATCCTTGGGTAAAGGGGATTCAAGTTTGTTCAAATGAAGGGCCACGCCCTCTTTCAAGGGGAGATAATAAGGAATTAGTGAAAAAATAATGGCAACATTTAAAAATCTTCTTCTCAAGAACCATAGGGCCAGGAAAGATGAAAGTCATGTGGAAGCATCCTCAGGTAGTGTACATTCAAGTTTGTTAAAATCATGACCCCCGGGGGTAGGGCGGGGCCACAATCGAGGATCAAAGTTTTACATAGAAATATATAGGAAAAATCTTTAAAAATCTTCTTCTCAAGAACAGCAAGGTCATGATGAGTCATATTTATATGGAAGCATCTTCAGGTAGTGTAGATTCAAATTTGTTAAAATCATGACCCCAGGGGGTAGGGCGGGGCCACAATGGAGGATCAAAGTTTTACATAGAAATATATAGGAAAAATCTTTAAAAATCTTCTTCTCAAGAACAGCAAAGTCATGACGAGTCATATTTATATGGAAGCATCTTCAGGTAGTGTAGATTCAAATTTGTTAAAAACATGACCCCAGGGGGTAGGGTGGGGCCACAATGGAGAATCAAAGTTTTACATAGAAATATATAGGAAAAATCTTTAAAAATCTTCTTCTCAAGAACAGCAAAGCCATGATGAATCATATTTATATGGAAGCATCCTCAGGTAGTGTAGATTCAAGTTTGTTCAAACCATGACCCCTGGGGGTAGGGCGTGGCCACAATGGAGGATCAAAGTTTTACATAGAAATATATAGGAAAAATCTTTAAAAATCTTCTTCTCAAAAACAGCAAAGCTATGATGAGTCATATTTATATGGAAGCATCCTCAGGTAGTGTAGATTCAAGTTTGTTCAAATCATGACCCCCGGGGGTAGGGCGGGGCCACAATGGAGGATCAAAGTTTTATATAGAAATATATATATAGGAAAAATCTTTAAAAATCTTCTTCTCAAGAACAGCAAAGCCATGTTGAGTCATATTTATATGGAAGCATCCTCAGGTAGTGTAGATTCAAGTTTGTTCAAATCATGACCACCGGGGGTAGGGCAGGGCCGCAATGGACTATCAAAGTTGTACATAGAAATATATAGGAAAAATCTTCTTCTCAAAAACAGCAAAGCCCAGATTGTTCATATTTATATGGAAGCATCCTCAGGTAGTGTAGATTCAAATTTATTCAAATCATGACCCCCGGGGGTAGGGCGGGGCCACAATGGAGGATCAAAGTTTTACATAGAAATGTATAGGAAAAATCTTTAAAAATCTTCTTCTCAGGAACAGCAAAGCCCTGATTGATCATATTTATATGGAAGCATCCTCAGGTAGTGTAGATTCTATTTTGTTTAAATCATGACCCCTGTGGGTAGGATGGGGCCACAATGAAGGATCAAAGTCTTAAATAGAAATATATAGGAAAATATCTTCTTCTGAAGAACTGCAAACAATAATTAGTCATTTTGATATGGAAGCATCCTCAGGTAGTGTAGATTCAATTTTGTTCAAATGATGACCCCCAGGGGTTGGATGGGGCCCATTGGGGGATCGAAAGTTTTACATAAGAACATATAGAAAAAAATATTTCTTCTCAAGAACTGGAAAGCTATGTTTAGTCATATTGATATGGAAGCATCCTCAGGTAGTGTAGATTCAAGTTCAAATGATGACCCCTGGGATAGGGAGGAGCCACAATGGAGGATCAAATTTTTACAAAGGAATATATGGGAAAATTTTTTTAAAATCTTTGAATTCTCAAGTACAATAAAGCCATTTGTTATATTGACATGGAAGCATCATCAGGTAATTTAAAATTCAAGCCCCCCACCCCCAGGTAATCTTTTCAATACTGAACTGATTTGTGCTTTTGCCTAGCCAATGTGCTCAGGTGAGCGATGTGGCCCATGGGCCTCTTGTTTGTTTTTCAGGTTCATGGCCAGTGTGTCTGTACACACAACACAAAGGGACGTAACTGTGAACAGTGTCAAGACTTTTATAATGATCTCCCGTGGAGACCTGCCAGAAGAAACTTTCCTAATGCTTGTAAAAGTATGCATGATAGGATTTTATAAAATGATAATATTCACGAATGTTCAATTCATATTCAAAATACTCACTGTATATTATGTATTGTTTGTTTGATACAAAAATTCTGCTAATCTACTAATAAAAATATCTTTCATTAAAAGAAACCTTGATTGTAACATATTTCAGATAAATCATTTTTTGTGATCTAAAAAGATATGGTTTGGCTTGATTTTAGAATAGGAGAGATGGATGATATTATTGCAGTTAAAATATATTGCAGTATATCTGATTTCAGAATGTAATTGTAATGGACACTCAGACAAGTGTAAGTTTGACCCCGCTGTGTATGAGTACAATGGAGGGATCAGTGGAGGGGTGTGTCTGGACTGTCAACATAACACCATGGGCAGGAACTGTCAGCAATGTAGGGACATGTTCTACCAGGACCCCTTCCAAGACATCCGCAGCTCTACCATCTGTAAACGTAAGTGTAACATGCCTCAACCATCTGTGAAAAATAATGCAACACACCTCAACCATCTGTAAATGTAACACTCCTTAACCATCTGTAAATGTAACATACTTCAATCAATTGTAAATATATTACTCCTCAACCATCTGTAAATGTAATACTCCTCAACCTTCTGTAAATGAAATACTCTTCAACCTTCTGTAAATGTAATACTCCTCAACCTTCTGTAAATGTAATACTCCTCAACCATCTGTAAGTGTAATGCTCCTCAACCATCTGTAAGTGTAATACTCCTCAACCATCTGTCAGTGTAAGTGTACCTCAACCATCTGTAAATGTAAATGTAACACTCCTCAATCATCTGAACAATGTGTTACACACCTTAACCATCTTAAAAGCATATAAATGCAATTCTACAACTGATAGGCATCTGTAAATTTATGAAAAGTACCAGTTCAAAGAAACATCTGAATATACCAACTATAATAACTCAAATACACAAATGACTGATAAGTGTTAACCATGTCAGTACCATATTTTTATGTGTGTTTTAGACTTATTACTTTATAACATATAAAAAAATATTGTACTGGCATGGTTAACACTGATCAGTTTTATGTACATTAAACAGCTAAGACATCTGTAGAAATGTAATACAATTGTAGAACAAAATTTGTGTAAAGAAAAATATAAAACAGCTTGATAACCTTTCAGATCTGTAACAAAACTGAAAGTAAATGTGTTTATGAAGCCTTGTTTCCATCTTTTACAATATTATTCGAGACCAAATTTTTCAAGTAGCTAATTGTATACCTATGTCTTCAGCCTGTGACTGTGACCCCTCGGGATCTATGTTTGGGGGGCGGTGTGATGATCACTCTGACGAGGCTAATGGACTGGTGGCGGGGAGGTGTCATTGTAGGGAGCATGTGGAGGGCAAGCGCTGTGATACCTGTAAAGACGGCTTCTATAATCTTAATGAGGCCAATCCACAGGGATGTCAGGGTAGGAATAGATAGGAAGTGATCTAAAAGTTATGTCAGAATTTCATTTTGAGAAACTAACATTTCTGAATTTGATATTTTCTTTGTTTCTACAGCATGTGACTGCAGTATGATTGGTACTGTAACTAACTCCTCCTGTGACAAGGACAGTGGAATGTGTTTGTGTAAACGTTATGTTACAGGAGATAGATGTGATACCTGCCATGTAAGTAGAATATTTTATAGCCAAAATTAAAATCTTATATTGCAATTTTCCTTTATGTAGGATTCAAGAATTCTTGATTTTGATTTTATTTATGAATACTTATTGATAACTCTGCTGTAAATTTTTTCAGCTTGGATTTTATGGATTGAGTGATATTGACACTGGCTGTACCCCCTGTGACTGTGATGTGGGCGGGTCTATCAGTGAAGAATGTGATCAGGTGACTGGAGTCTGTACCTGTAAACCTAACATCATTGGTCAGCAGTGTGACCAGCCCCGCCCTGGATATTACTACGCTATGTTGGATTATCTCCGATATGAAGCTGAGTTAGCTAAAGGATTTGGAGTAAGTGGAAAAAGACAGATTTTGCATTAAGAAACATCAGAATATCTGTTTTATTATGCCAATTATGCTTAAAAAAAATTTCCAATTTGTTTCTCAAAGATGCATTTTTAAGTGTGAAATAACAAAAAAAAGTACCCAAGATTTATTGTTAAACATGTAATTGGAAAAAAAAAATTCTAAACAGAATATTGTATTTGATTAATTTTCATAATTTGAACTTTCTAATTATTTTTTTTATTTCTTTTCAACAGCAAGTGCGTCAGTACATCCAAGAGCCATACCTGGATGGCTACCAGCCCTGGACAGGTCCGGGGTACATGTTGGTGAGGGAGGGGGACAGTCTGGAGTTTAATGTCAGCAACATAGAGTTCCCAACTAATTATGACATAGTCATCCGCTATGATCTAAGGGTAGGTAACTCCAATCTGAGCACTGATATGTGTGTAGTGAATGAAGGATAAATAATTCTCCTTCTTATAGAGATATAAATTCTGTACTGTAAGAATATGTATTAATTAATTAGTTTTTTATATTGTCATTTGCACTCAGAAGTTCAGGTAAGTATATGTAAATTGCTCTCATTAGTTTTCCAATGAAAGCTAACAATTTTCTCTGATACCACATGAGAGTGTCATGCTTTTGACATAGTTTTTGTTACTGTCCTTGACACAGATGCCAGATGTGTGGGATGAAGTATTGGTAACCATCCGTCGTGACAAAATCCCAGAGGAGAATGGACCCTGTGCCAATCACGTTCCTAGAGATGACGAAAAAAGCACCACACTTAACCCAGGTTTGTTATAAAGAATTGAGTTTGAGTTCTAAGCAACAAATGCCTTACAGTCGAACTTCAGTATCTCGAATACCATGGATATGTCAAAGTGATTTGGAAGTCACAACCCCTTATTCTTTATGTATTTTACCCTGGATATCTCAAACCCTGGGATATCTCGAAGTTTTTTCTCGGTCCCATTGAGTTCGAGATAACGAGGTTTGACTGTATATCACACACAATGGAACTACAATATATTTTTTTTTAATGATATATTTGTGACATCTATTTAATCAAAGTTGCTCTTTTTTATGTCGGTTTATTAATATAAATGATGTTCTCAATGTTTAACATGTAAATAGGGGAGTGGATTTGGTTTGTTATCTTTCTTCATATAAAACAACATCCATTGTAAACAGTACCCTGATAAATACATAGTTCAATACTTTTGCAAAAGGGAAATTATATTATAATCTACTAGAGTTTATACATCATGAAGTTGATGCTAAAATCACTCAAGGTTGACTTTTCTAAGAGGAGCATTCAAATCTTATAAGTCTATTTTTGTTCTATTACCATTGGTGTAGAAATAAAAGTACAAGTACTTTCTAAATATGGGCACAATGTCAGTAATAAACATTTGAGAAAAGTTTAAATGTTTGTAAAGTGGAATTGCACAAATTCATTTAAATTTCTTTTTTAGGAGCACGTTATATAGAGGTTGTCCCATCAGCCTGTCTGGAGCCAAATACAAACTACACCATCCGTCTGGACTTCCGTCGTTACAAGTCTGGATTATCTACTCCAGAGGCTACAGCCCTTATTGACTCAGTAAGCTTGTGTTTCTTCTGAGTTCTGAAGCTTGTAAAAATTTGTTGCAGTAGCACCTAGTAGCAACTTCTTTCAGGAAAATGAATTCTTCAAAGGGAATCAAACAGTAAAATATAAAAACATTATGCATTACCCTTGTGTCAATGTTTATCACCAAAACATGCCTTGTTTTCCACAGATTGTGCTGGTTCCAGCCACAGACAGCATTCCTATTTTCCAAGTGTTTGGGTATTTGAATTTCATGAAGAACCAGTTTATCCGTTACCAGTGTCGTGAGAAGCAGCTGTCGCCATACCGACCTAATTACTCCGACTTCTGTAAAAAGCTGACATTCAGCATTTCCACAAGCATGCTGCATCGTGCTCTGCGTGAGTTAATCCTGAAATTAAAAAAATCATTAAATTAAAAAATTTTGCATTTATTTTAGTCCAAAGTTTAAGTTTTAAGTATGAAGGCTAAGTAGAAATAAAAAGAAAATGGTTTTATAAGTTGTGAAAACAATGATGATTTCTTTATGTCAGCCTGCGAGTGTGATCCCACTGGATCATTGAATTCCGAGTGTGAGCCAGCTGGTGGACAGTGTCTCTGTAAACCAAATGTTGTCGGCAGGAAGTGTGACCGCTGCGCTCCAGGAACCTACAACTTTGGACCTGCTGGGTGTTCTTGTAAGTAGAATTTTAGAGTTGGGAACCTGCTATACATCAGTATCATGTAACTCAGTACACACAACAATACAATAATGAAAATGTTTTACACTTTTTTTATGCCCCGCCATGAATATGGCCGGGGCATATAGTGTTTGTCATGTCTGTCTTCCGTCCTTCCGTCCTTCTGTCCTTCCGTCTGTCCTTCCGTCACACTTTGCGTTTAGCTCTGTTCAAAGCTCAGTTTCAAAGAAACTATCCAAGATATTTTTATCAAACTTCATATGCTGATAGATATTGATGAGGGCTATGCAACTGCATCAACATTTTTTGACCTTGACCTTTCCTTTGACCTTGACCTCACTTTTCTTAAATTAGTGTTTAGCTCAGTTTTAAAGATACCATTCAAGATAGTGTAATCAAACTTCATATGTTGATACATACTGATGTAAGCTATTCAATTGCATCAACATTTTTTTGACCTTGACCTTTATTTTGACCTTGACCTCACTTTTCTTAAATTAATGTTTAGCTCTGTTTTAATGAAACCATTCAAGATATTTTTAACAAACTTCATATGCTGATACATACTGATGAGAGCTATTCAACTGCATCAATATTTTTTACCTTGACCTTTCCTTTGACCTTGACCTCACTTTTCTTAAATTAGTGTTTAGCTCAGTTTTAAAGATACCATTCAAGATAGTGTTATCAAACTTCATATGCTGATACATACTGATGAGAGCTATTCAACTGCATCAACATTTTTTGACCTTGACCTTTCCTTTGACCTTGACCTCACTTTTCTTAAATTAGTGTCAAACTTCATATGCTGATACATACTGATGAGAGTTATTCAACTGCATCAATATTTTTTGACCTTGACCTTTCCTTTGACCTTGACCTCACTTTTCTTAAATTAGTGTTTAGCTCAGTTTTAAAGAAACCATTCATAATATTTTCATCAAACTTCATATGCTAATACATACTGATGTAACCTTTTCAACTACATCAACATTTTTTGATCTTGACCTTTCCTTTGATCTTGACCTCACTTTTCTTAAATTAGTTTCTGAATCAAGCGTCATATGCTGATACATACTGATGTAAGCTATTCAACTGCAGCAACATTTTTTGACCTTGACCTTTCCTTTGACCTTGACCTCACTTTTCTCAATTTGTGTTAAAATGTTGCATTACTAATATACCCTTGGCGGGGCATTCATGTCCTATGGACATATTTCTAGTTACCTTTACATTTGTACATTGTTCAATAATTAATTTTGATCAACAGCCTGTAATTGCCATGAGTACGGATCCCGTGACAATCTGTGTGATGCCCAGACAGGACAGTGTCTTTGTATTTACAATGTGGGATCTCGAGACTGTAGTCAGTGTGAGCCAGGCTACTGGGGATTTCCTCAGTGTAGACAATGTGACTGTAACGGAAACGCGGAAATATGTGATGATCTGACAGGAAAATGTATCGGATGTCAGAACTTCACGGCTGGAGAACATTGTGAACGGTAGGGATTTAAACTGGGAAAAAAAATAAACTTAGGTGTATTTTTTGGCTCTTGTTGTCTATATACATGTATGTATTTCATCTGCATTACTATTTGATTCCTTGAAATTCAAAAATTCGATATAGATCACAATACCTATTCTTGTTTTTATCATAGATTCTTGTATTATAATTTCTTTCCATAGATGTGATGCTGGGTATTATGGTGATCCCAGAAGTTATATCAGGAAGCCATGTCGCCCCTGTATGTGCCCTGGGGGTCCCACCAGTCAGACTCAGCATGCCGATTCCTGTGAGGAGGACCCCAGACGAGGGATCATTGTCTGTAACTGTCTACCAGGATACCAAGGTAACATTTCTTAAATAAAATACAAACATGAAATATAAGCTTTAAATTTTGTGTAATTGAAGTTTTTGAAAATATGAAATGTACAAATATATTTTAGTAAGTTAACTTACTATGTTGTAAATCAATCATATTATAGGTCCTAACTGTGACACATGCAGTGAGAACTACTTTGGAAATCCTCTGATAGCCAACAGTACATGTGAGCCATGTGTATGCAATAACAATATAGACCCGAATGTGGACGGCAGTTGTGACACCTCGTCAGGGGAGTGTCTGAAGTGTCTGTTTAACACCGAGGGTTTTAACTGTGAGAAGTGTAAGCCGGGATACTACGGGGATGCCACCACTCAGAGCTGTGTGGGTAAGCAAGAAATTCTGTCACCTGTCTTTAGTTGTTGATCTGTATTGTCTATTTCAGAAATGATTTGTTTGATTTTAGAAGTAAATGAGTTGAAAACTAAGCTGTAAAGCTAATTTAATCTAAAGTGGTGTTGATTTAATTTTTCGCTGATTTTAACAGAGTGTGTGTGTGACCAGTATGGCACAGATGGATCTGCTGGACCCTGTAACAGAGAGACAGGTCAGTGTCCATGTCTGCCCAATGTGACTGGACTGAGGTGTGATGCCTGTCTGCCTGGGTACTGGAACATTACTAGTGGGGAGGGGTGCTCAGCCTGTGGGTGTGACCCTGAGGGCTCATTAGGAATCACCTGTAACCAGGTAAGTGATTGGAAGTAAAAGAGTTTCTCAAGAAATGGCAGTTTTGCTATGTATTAGAGCTGTAAAATTTTCTTGTTAAGTGCTTAATGATAAAAGATTGATCAAGGTCTTCTTGGAAGTTGCTCCTACTGAAGATTCTAGAATAAATGAAAGCCAAAGATTAAATGGTTAATAAAAAACCGTTTTGTTTTTCCAGTTTGATGGCCATTGTTCCTGTCAAACGGGAAGGGGAGGTAGAGACTGCAGTCAGTGTGAGGATCTCTTCTGGGGTGACCCTAAAGTCCAGTGTACAGGTATTCATACACATATAGAAAAAAAAGTAGAAGCTGATGAATTAATCAGAGAAAAATTTGTATCAAGTTCATGATAGTTGGACCAAAAGGACACGGGTACTGTGAACTGAAAATGTTACACTAAACAGTGAAACTGTGATGTGAAAATAAATGTTATAGTGAAGGTATTGTAAAAGAAAGTTTCCTTGTTATTGCAGCCTGTGATTGTAATGGTCAGGGTTCTGCTGACATGCAGTGTGACCGTCGTACGGGTCAGTGTGTCTGTTTGACTGGGATCAGTGGCTACAAGTGTGACCGCTGTGACAGAGGAACCACTGGAGAACTCCCTAACTGTAAACCCTGTGGGGAGTGCTTTGACAACTGGGACAGAGTCATCAGAGATCTCAGAGGTACTCCTTTACTCTATGTTTTTTTTTCATCTGTTGTTCATCGTTGATCATCCATAAACCTTACAAATTTTTAACTTCTCTTCAGAGGCATAAGGCCAATTTTAACCGAACTTAGCTCAAAGTGTTTTGGGGTAATTTTTCTGTAGAAGTACCTTTTTACATGTGGTATTAATTTATAATCTCAAATTTTCCATGGAAATTTGTCCCAGCTTACTTAAAGTACATTTAAGGCATATGGAGGCAATCTAAAGATCCATATGATTTTCTACCCGTGGATTGAACAGAAATTGTGATTCCACAAAATTATGACCCCATGGAAAAAAGAACATTTACTGTTTATATAAGAATTGTCTTTAAAATTTTTTTTCTGAAGAAGCAGAGCCACAACAAGTCATATTGATGTGCAGACATCCTTATGTATTGTACATTCAATTTTTTTTTAGAATAATGGCATCAGGAGTTAGGCTGGGGAATTCATAGTGGATCAAAGCTTTATAAGGGACATTTACTAAAACAAAATAGCTTCTTGTAAAGAACAGCATTTTTGTAATTAATGATACTGTATTTGTGTGTGAAGATCATGAAATGAAGATTTAGTTTTGTATAAATTGTGAATCCTGTGCTTTGTTTGGGCACATAAAGGGATCAAGGTCATATATAGCATTATGTAGGAAAGATCTTAGTTTTCAAGAATGGCAGGGCCACAATTGGTGGAATAGTTAAGCATTCTCCAGTCATAAAGATGCAAATTTGTTCTAATCATGCCCCCACCCCACCCCCTGGTAAGGACTGGGCCACAGTTTTATACAAAAATTTATTGATATTCACAAGAAGTGTTGAAATCATAGACTTATATTTGGGAACCACAGTGGGGTTTCATTAATCCATCTGTATATTCATGAATATAGATATTCATTTGTCAAGAACGGCAGCTCTGTTGAAGGTTGGAGTTTATTTGCCTATTGTTCTAAATTCACATAATTCTTGCATGTCATGATTTAAGAGATGGCAGAATTTCTTCTTTTTTTCTGAAAGATGCATGTTTTATAATGCATAGCTACATCAGGATCTAAAGGGACTTCTTCAAACTAGTGTATTAAATTATTGTAATCTAGTGTATTAATGTAATCTAGTTTATTATATTACTGTAATCTGGCATATTAATGTAATCTAGTGTATTAAATTTTTGTAATTAATGTGATTTATTTTCCTTCTTAAGACCAGACCCAGTATTTGGTCAATGAAGCCCTGAAAATCAAAGCCACTGGAGTAGAGAAAGCCTTTGAGAAAGAGTTTAAGGAGATGGAGAACAATATTCAAGAAATCAGGGACATCATCCGTAATGCTAATGTGTCATCCAGTGACATCAAGGACATCGAAATGAATCTCAAGCAGCTCAGGTTCAGATCTTCACATAAATCTCTTGAACATGTCAAATAAGCAGTGATCTTCAAAGTCCAGGAAACATTAAAGCTGGATTTTACCATTTTGAATACTTCCTCTTCTGACAAAACCTCACTTTATCTTAATCATACATGTAAAAGAATCACAGTTAGGTAATAATGTTACCAACAGCTAAAGTCCAGTTGGCTTGGATCTTACAGTCATTTTCAAAGATTTCTTAATTATAGAACCAGCCATATATTTCTCTCAACCAGTCAATGAAAAAAGTTTTTTTTGTTTAATACATGTACTAAATATTGTGTAAATTTAATCTATTGTTGCATATATTTATGAAAACATACATCTCCATGAAAGTTTATTATATGCTTAATGTCAAGTTTTCCATGGAATTTACTGTATATTTTTTCTTTTTGCAGGGATTCATTGAATATCAGCTATACTGACCTTGAGCGAACAGAGGTTGAGATAAACACGAGATCTGACAGTATCAGACAGAGTAACAATGATATCAGGGCACTACAGCTGGGAGTGGATAAACTGAAAGTGAAAATAGATAATCTCAAGAAGAATGCCACCAATGTACAGGCCCAGGATGTAGAAGGTAGGGTCTGAAGAAAGCACTTTTCCCATATTGCATCATGCATTTCCATTCATAAATCAGCACCTGCTGTGAACTTGAATTAAACTTAAACTATTTGTACTCTGTAGTTCTGCTGAAGTAGGCATGTGTATATACAGTCCATTGTATCAGTTTGGTGATGCGCCTTATGAAAGTAATTTGATTGCTCTGATATAATTATTTTTCTGATATAGTACAGTGTATGATCATTAGCTCCTCCAAGCCTAAGGCTGAAAATGAACTATTCTGAATGAAGTAAATTCAAGGCCCCTAAAGTTAGGGTGGAACCATGACAGGGTGTCAAATTTTATTTGGGATTAAATAGGAATTTTTTTTTTTTACTTCTGTGAAATAGGCAAATTAATATGCAAGCATCTCTAAGTTTTGAAGATTCAAGTTTGTTCGAATTATGACCCTCAGGGAAATAAAGTTATATACAACAATAGGGAGACTCCTGCAAAAAAAAAAATTAAATAAATAAAAAAAAAAGTGGAAGAAGATTTTGTAAACTTAACATCAAGCCTTAATATACCTGAAATGTTTTGAAATACTGAGCTTGAATTTATTGACCACATTGAGGGGTTTAGTTTATTTACATGTTCATAAATTTAAGGAAGAGAAAAGCAACTCGCTGAGGTGATTACTTTAACCTGTAATATTTTATGTTTGATGTTTTAGGTGCCTACAACTTAACGAAGAAGGCACAGGAAGTGTCCCTGGCTGCTCAAAGGAAAGTGAATGCTACAGACGGAATTCTGGACCAGTCAGAGAAAATCCGACTGGAAGTTGAGAACATGATTAATAATCAGCATGCCGAGTTTGAAAGAAAAGTGAAGGATAACGAGGAAAATCTCAATGAAATCAACAATCAGATCTCAGGCCTGGGAAATAAAATAGCTGACATCAATGAAATGGTAAAAAATCAAATTATCAATTTTGCATTTGTGGATTAAATGCATATCTTAAGCATAGTATATATAATTTATTTAATTTTATGTAAAGAGGCTAATTTTATTCACTGTTACTGATGGAGAAAGACATCAGAGTATGAATTTCAGAATTGTGAAGGACTTAACAGGTTTTCATAAAATCATTTTTAAATCTACTTTGAAGAAACTCATGCTGTTGTAAAACTGTGGTTTTAGGTATGTGACAAGCGTGGAGAGCCATGCCACCCTGTGTGTGGAGGAGGTGGATGTGGAGTTTGTGGTGGAGAACAGAGCTGTGAGAATGGAGCAGTGAAGAAAGCGGAGAATGCTCTGGACCTCGCTCGTAAAGCCGAGGAGCTGCTGACCATTAAAGAGAGGAATGCCACAGATCTCCTACAGAAGGTTAGTGCTGGAAAAAAGGTACTTTAACATGCACTGCACTTGTATTGATGTACTCAAATCTTAATGCCTCTTATGACTTAAAAATGTAGTCATAAAGGTATAGTGTACCATGTTTTGAAAATGAAGCACAAGATGTAAAGAATACATTAAAATTCATAACTTATTTTATGTGAGGTATGAATTAGCAGGACAAGGATGCACAAAAAGTATTAAGATATGACACATTTTGTTGCTGTTAAACTGCCAAATTTAATAGTCTACACCTTAAGATAAAAGGTTTAGATGGAATATGTGTTGTTTTACAGCTGCAGAACTCCCAGAGAGGAGCAGAGATGGGGAGAGACGAAGCCCAGATGGCTTACAACGAAGCTCTCAAAGTGAAAAACGAGACCGAGTTTGCTCGCATTGCTCTTCAGGATCTGTTTGTCAGGATATCTGGATTCCTCTCGGCAGATGGAGCCACTCCAGATGATATCAAACAGGTAGGCCAACAGCAGCACTAATTAATTACATATGCATATACAGGTGACTCTCGATGGCTCGAACTCTGATCTCTCGAAGTTCTCAATCTCTCGAAGTGAACCTCCGGTCCCGTTTTTTCCTCTATATAACTAAGCAAATTTACTTCTGATCTCTCGAACTTCCGATCCCTCGAAGTTCTCTATCTCTCGAACCAAGACCTGGGTCCCGTTACACACATTTCATTGGTTTTTACTCTCTATCTCTCGAAGTTTTGATTGCGCGTGGGTACACGCCAATCAAGCGTAAAATTAATGCAGCTTTGACTTACCTGGATAACAGTAAATGCCTTGGGCTGACATGGAGGCTTTAATTTGGTGTTTACATAGATGACACTATACCTGTGAGCATCCGAGTGTTGATATATAATTAATTAGTTATAATTGGTAAATTATAAACGGATTGCTTCACAATTTATTTTGACTTGACAGCGAGATGATAATTTTTAGAAAATAATTTAATAGATGTGTCAATAATTTTCCATAAATTATGGAAGTTTATTAAGAGTCTAGTACGTAATCCAAGAATGACAAGCATTGCACAAGAAATCCTATCTCAAGAACTGAATACCTATTTAATACGATGTAACACGAGAAATCTGGTGAAGGACTCGATCAAGCCCGGGGGGTAGCCAAACCGACGATCGCTACTCAGGTTCCATGTAATCATGAAATGGGAACAAATAAATACTAAAACTTAAAAAGATCACTTTATTTATTCAAAATACAATCATTGTTGTTGAAATCAAGTGAATTACCTGTAAAATACGAATGAAAATGTGCAACGACATTATCAAAATATACTTCCGGTATTCATAATAGTAGAACAATGATGATCGGAACTGAAAATTCCGGATTTCATTCACTTTCTATCTCTCGAACCCCTCGATCTCTCGATCTTTTCTTGCGGTCCTTTGAACTTCGAGAGATCGAGAGTCACCTGTATTTTTTCATCTTTATTGACATTGAATTTAAGGAAAATTTATTTGTACTCTAATGTTTTATATATAAAATTGTCTTAGAATGTTGACATTGAATTTCAATGAAATTCATTCATACTTTCATGTTTAATGTTGAAGTGTATGTATATAGCATTTTGATACAGATTGTTATTGTAATTATCTCTATTCTACAAGAGAAATCAGTAACATCACGGTCCCCTACTTGTTTTTTTTTTATAACAGATTGCAGAGGAAGTGCTGGCAATGAGCATTTCTTTGACCCCTCAGCAGATTATGGATTTGGCTCAGCAGATTAATGTAACCATACAGGGACTCCAGAATATTGATGATATTCTAGCTGAGACCAGCAGTGACTTAGCCAGGGCCAAAGGACTGAAGGACAGAGCAGAAACGGCTGAGTAAGTCAATATATTTAATGTATTTGCCAGGATAGAGTTATCATAAAAACTAAACCCTGATGGTGATTGCCCTAGTTATGTTTCTTCACTTGGAATAAAAAGTAAAATATTTAGAATAATGATACTTATTTTATAAGTGTGACAAATTACTTATTATTTGTACAGGGCTGATGCTAAGTCCATTTTGGAGAAGGCAGAGGATGTACAGGCGAATCTGAAGGGGGCCACATCTGCCCAAGAGGCAGCTCAGGCAGCCATCAGCCAGGCAGACATTGACATACTGGACGCTGAGCAGTACCTCACACAGGTAATGAGTGTAACAAGGGAATAAGGAGGTCAGGCACAACTGTGTGTCATTTTTGGAGGATTGATTTGTCTGTGTGAAAATGGCTTGGACTTTATCAGTCAGGCTGAAATTGAGATCCTAGATGCTATACATATCTCATTTAACTTATTAGTGTATTAAACAGGGTATGAGCAAGTCAAGTATAGCTAATTTACAGTTGATTTGTTCAGCTTTGGGTAAAATGGTGCTATCTTTATTATTGACTTAAATGGCTAAATAATTGAAAAATAGAAGTAGAATTTTAATAAATGATCTTTCTATAGAGACTGCACAGTATGTTTTATTTGAAAAAGTACATGATCGTGCTGTTCAACTTGATATTTTTAATGAGCATTCCAGTAATGCACATGCCATGTTCATCTAAAGGAGGTATCACATTTGATATTGCATTATGAACAATGATTACTGAATTTCTGCTGTTTTAGATTGAGTCAGAGACAGCAGCAGCCACAGACAAGTCTAACCAATCTCTAACATTACTGGGAGCTCTGAGAGGGAGACTGAGGGATCTACAGGGAAAGTATATAGAGAATGAGCAGAAGGTGGCCAACGCTGAGAGGGCAGCACAGGAGGCCGAGAGGCTCGCACAGAAAACAGAGGAGGTCAGTAATGGAACTGGTTACTAAACAGAAGAATCTGATCATTTTTCTCCCATACACAACCTTCCTTCAAATCTTGTAAAGGTTGATGAAAACTTCAGAGTAAAGTTAAGGAAATCAACATCTTTGTTTGCTAAACTTTCAGAAATTTGAATCATCAGAGCTAACCTTAACAGAGACTTCTGCTAAAAGAAAACATCTTCCTTTTTTTTAAATATTTTTGTGAACATGTTATGAAATCTGTTTTTTTTTAGGCTGCCAACAAATTGCAGACAAAGTATAATGACACTGCTCAAACTCTGAACTCAAGATACAATCTCACAACTCAAGCTCAGTCTCGAGCTGAGATTCTCAAGAAAAGGGCTGATAAACTTGCCTTAGATACAACTGCCAAATTAAAGAATTTAGCTGGTAAGTACTTAAGAGAAAACTGATACAAGTTGAATTCATATTCATTTAAACATGAACGGTACACATTGGTACCTCACTTTTAATGCTTTAATATTCATGTATTTTTGATTTACATTTATCTTGAATACATTAATTGGTAACAAATTTAAGAGAGAGAAGAAATTAAAAGTTTTTAGCTCTTTAGCATTTAAACAAACTCTTGTATTTGTCTTGAAGGATCCAAAGCAATGTGAAAAACAGGCAGATTTGTTTCCATTTCAGAAATGCAGCAGAACTTTGATACGAATGAGAAGAGACTAAACAAACTTTCCACAGATATTGATGAACTAAATCGACGAATGGCTGAGTATCTACAAGCCATTAATGATAAAGCTACAGAGTATTACAACTGTAAGACCTAAGGTTGATATAGATTTATCACTGTGAGTTATAACAGATAGAGCTGTAGAGAAGTCTGTGGATTGTAGATAGGGATCAAATTTTGTTATCTTCAGTGGAGGAGTATCGGTATTACATTGATATAGATGTGGTCAGCATTATTATAAGATATATATATAATCTGTGATACCAGCCTTGATGTATCAATCTGTCAATCCAAACATAAAAAAGAAAATGTAGTGATGGTGTCTGAGCCAGCTGTGAGTGTGTTTAACTATGTTTGTATCAGGAATCATGGGACATTTTCCACATAATAACGTAATAATTTTACTCTGCATTACTACTTTAAAGGGAATACCGACTTTTGAGGTTCAGATTTATGTTATAATCAATACCAGACTAATATACCGTAGACCCAGTGAGATGGAGGCAATGTTGTGTTTTTATAGTGTATACTATAGCTTTTATTTACAGTTTTCTATGGATATTTATTACATGTCAAAATGGTATGTACAAGTGTTTTAATTTTCATACCTGCATAAGGTTGCCAAGGTATATTATATTAGCAGGGATGTATTAGGCACAAGAACTTGTTTGTTTCAGTCTTGTGAAGATTTTGTATTAATTAGATTAGGTAAGCAGTCATGTCCCATTCTGTTGTAAAGTGCATGACTGTATGTACTTTGTCCAATATGTATATTCACATATTTTATTGTAATATATCTAATAGTCGCATGTGTTCTAGACTTTTTATGTCTCTCATTTTATAGCATGGTTTATACATAATGCTCATATGTTATAACTGTGATGTTAATGCCTGCTGAAGATCAAGTATTTACAATTATGTGTGTCAGTTTTCTTTATTCAAGATGAACATAATCTTAAGACAAATATAACATAATCTTTATTTTTCATTGTGTGTTACTAAAAACTTTGTCCTTCACTTATTAAAAAAATATGCTACTCTCAGAGGTAGCAGAAAGAATTGAGAACTTTGCAGCAGAACAAAGATAAAAGCTTTAAAATAGGGCATAATACAGCTACATTTTTGTAGTACATTTAAGTGTATTGGTACCTTTCTATTGATCTGACATAATATACAGTGATTATCGTGTGCTTTATAAAACAAGTTTTAGGTCAGATGGAATAGAAATCTCTTGATTCATTTTTAATTTTCATCTGTTCAATTAATATGGAAGTTAACAGCAATAATTAGATAAATGCTTTTTATTATTTTTTGATATTGTTTCACTAGCTTCACATTTTCACCTCTTTATTCATTATTCAACTTGTCAAATGTATGTATATTCGCCATGTACACAAGTTTTGAATGTTCGTATTTCATATGGTGCTATTGTATTTGGATACAAACTGCAAATCCTGATATTTTTACTATCCTCTGTATATTGTTAGGGGTCACTGAATTACAAGATGGTTGAAGTTTTTTTCATCAGGTTGTTGAAAATAGCAAGGTCAGGGAATAGAAATTATACATTAGTTGCTGAATACAAATTCATACAGTCATACAAACTATATAGTAATTGTAATGACGAAATGATTTGTAAATTGGTAAAGCTGGTTTGTCAAAGAAAACCAAACTTAAACAGCAAAGATAATTAATTTTTATAAGCCTACCTCTTTGTGAGCACTATTTTTTTTCTATATGGTTGTATTAACTGGATAAACAACAGTTTAGGAGAACAAATACATGTATGTGAATGTGGTAATCTTGCTTAACTAGTTATATTTAAATATTTAAATGTTTGTATTACTTCGTAGTTAGCAGTAAGTATTGACAGTTCTAAAGAAGATGCTACAATTCCTTGTTGTAAACGATGACCTATTATAACAAAAGAGAAACCTACCATTAAATTTAATGTTCAACCATTGTTTGAGAAATGGTTAATTAAATGATGGTACATTTTTTAAATGATGAATTGTAGGTACTTAAAGCTGATTTTTTATGAACTTGACTTAAAGTTGTGAGACTTTTATCTTAATTTGGAGGTAACCCTAAAACTTACACTGCACCTGCATTTCTTCCTTAGAGATTGGTTATATTTAGTATGCATCATCTTCAAATTCAGTTTGTTCAGTTATTACCTCAAAATAAATTCACATTTTATAAGAGATGTTTCTGTTTTTTTTAATATCCTCACTTTCTAAAGAAAGTTTTGGTATACTGTTGTTACCCATTTCTGTCTGTCTGTCTGTCACACTTTCTTCTTAATCTTACTTCTCCTACATTTTAAGTAGACTTTGGAATATGATAGTTGGTGTCCTATAGATGTGCAATAAGGTTTTGGAATTTTCAATTTAACCCTGGGGACAAAACGGGGATAAAAAAAATGACGCTTTTTCTACAAAAGCCTGGTTCCCAGAACTCCTACATTTTACGTAGTAGCCTAATCTTTTAGAAGATGATTGGTGGTGTCCTGTAGATGTGCAATAAGGTTTCGAAATTTTCATTTTCACCCTGCGGGTCAAATGGGGGTTGAAAAATGACGTTTTATATAAAAAAAGACCCTGGTTTCCAGAACTCCTCTTACATTTTACACAGTAGCCTAATCATCTTTTGGAAGATGATTGTTGGTGTCCTGTACATGTGCAATAAGGTTTCGGAATTTTCATTTTCACCCTGGCGTTTAAATGACGTTTAAAGTCTTAATGTCAAAGATTTCATGAGTTATGATCTTGTTGTCTTTTTTCTTAATTTGACCTAGAATAAGGAAAGGGTCAAGGTAAAAAAAAATGATGCAGCAAATCTTTGTCAATGTCTTCTATCTATGTTCCAAATTTGAATTTATAATGTCAAAGGGTTCTCAGATTATGCCCTGAATTATATTGTAAAAGATTGACCTTGCCTTTATAAATGAGTCAAGGTTAAACATTTTGTTGACATGTACCCTTTCTCCATACCACCTTTCCATGTTCCAAGATTGAAGTTTCAATGTCAAAGGGTTCTTAAGTTATGATTTGGAGGTGTTTTTCTCAATTTGACCTTGAATGAAGAAAGAAGTCAAGGTCAAAATTTTGGTTCAGTGCATTTTGTGTAAATGTCTTCTAGTTTGAAATCATAATGTCAAAGGATTCCTAGGTATATTTTGATGTAAAGATTGACCTTGACCTTATCAAAAGGACAAAATTTGATTGAAGAAGAAAACTGACAAATATGTAGACTAGTCTAGTCTACTTGTCGCATCAAAACTGAAGGAGGAGTAGAGTTTTGAAAGAATAAATTTGTTTCTATATTATGTAATGAAACTTTCACATAAGATTCAACTTTTCTTGCCCAGTGGTTCTTGAGAAGAAGATTTTTGAAGATTTTTTTCTTATACGGTAAAGCATGCTCATGGCGAACACGCTTATAATGAATTGCCGTCCCAGGCACTTAGTTATAAGTGTGTTTTACTGTACAATCCCATGTTTACAAAACTTTTATCGCCTATCGTGGCCCCACCCTACCTCTGAAGGTCATGATTTGGAGTTGAATTTACACTAAGTAAAGAAGTTTCACGTAATTTCAAGCTTTTCTGGCTCAGTGTTTCTTGAGAAGAAGATTTTTGAAATACCATTAAATTTTCACTCATTCTTATCTCCCCTTAAAAGAAGGTTTGACCCTTCAATTGAACAATTGTTTTACACAAGAAAGAATACTTTAATATCAGAACCACAAATAACAAGAAAATGTGTTTCTTCACCGAAATGTAATTGATTGTGAAAAGCCTCTTAGTTTCTTAATGTCATCTTTCCAACCAAAATGTTTTCATCAGGCCTTTCCCCTAGAAAATGAAGAGATATCTTATGTCAACATCTATTAATGGCAACACACTCAAGAAAATTTATTGTGAACTTCCGTATTTACAAGGCGATGGATTGTTAAACATGTCTTAATTGTTAGAATATTAATACATTTTTATTTTTTAAAAATATTTTTTGCCGACAAAATTTACAAGGGGAGCAACTCTATATACTCCCTTACTTTTATATCAGTTTCACCCCTCTCTAGAATTTTATATTCGTAGGATTTTTCAAGTATTAACTTTGTTGATTCAGATATATGTATCTTCATAGCTGAAAAGAAATTTTAGATATGGATAAGAAATAAATTGACGATACATCGCGGTTTAAAATAAGCTCAGAATTATGTAAAGTATGTAGATATTCCTTTAGATTACTTTGTCTCCATTGTTGAATGGCTAGCCAACGAAAAAAAATTATAAACAAAATGTGTTTGTGAAACACTGATGCCCCCGTATGGCAACTTATAGCAAAGGTTAAACTTTCTCGAATGCAAATCAAATACATGTAGTTGGTACCCAAAGTAAGGTCTTGTGTCGAGGAATATACCTGTGAAATATGAGAGCCCTAGCAGCAACCATTGAATAGATATGGAAAAGGTTAAAGTTTTTTCAAAAGTAAGTCAAACATCCAGGTGAAGGTCAACTGGTCAAAATTAATGGTGTCTAAGGAAAGGCCTTCTCACAAGAAATATACTGGTGAAATATGAAAGCTGAAGCACCAATCGTTCAAAAGTTATGACCAAGGTTTAAGTTTTTCAAAAGAAGGTCAAACTCCAAGGTCAAGGTCAATGGATTACAATTGTTGGTCTCCAAAGGAAGGTCTTGTCACAAGAATTGTATATGTGAAGTATGAAAGCCCTAGCACCAATGTTCAATAGATATGGCCAAGGATAAAGTTTTCCAAAAGTAGGTCAAACTCCAAGGTAAAGGTCAAAGGGTCAAAATTGCTGGTATCCAAAGGAAGGTCTTGTCACAAGGATTATATATGTGAAGTATGAAAGCCCTACCATTAACTGTTCTCAAGTTATGGCCAAGGTTAAAATTTTTCAAAAGTAGGTCAAACTCTAAGGTCAAGGTCAAAGGGTCAAAGTTGTTGGTATCCAAAGAAAGGTCTTGTCACAAGGACAATATAAGTGAAGTATGAAAGCCCTAGCTGCAACGGTTCAAACGTTATGACCAAGGTCAAAGTTTTTCAAAAGTAGGTCAATCTCCAAGATCAAGGTCAAAGGGTCAAAGTTGTTGGTATCCAAAGGAAGGTCATGTCTCAAGGATTACATATGTGAAGTATGAAAGCCGTAGCACCAAAAGTTCAAAAGTTATGGCCAATTTTAAATTTTTTCAAAAGTAGGTCAAACTCCAAGGTCAAGGTCAAAGGGTCAAAGTTGTTGGTATCCAAAGAAAGGTCTTGTCACAAGGATTATATATGTGAAGTATGAAAGCCCTAGCTGCAAGGGTACAAAAGTTATGGACAAGGTCAAAGTTTTCAAAAGTAGGTCAATCTCCAAGGTCAAGGTCAAAGGGTCAAAGTTGTTGGTATCCAAAGAAAGGTCTTGTCACAAGGATTACATATGTGAAGTATGAAAGCCATAGCACCAAACTTTCAAAAGTTATGACCAATGTTAAAGTTTTTTTAAAGTAGGTCAAAGGGTCAAATTTGTTGGTAAAGGTCTTGTCACAAGGATTACACATGTGAAGTATGAAAGCCCTAACACCAATTGTTCAAAAGTTATGGCCAAGGCTAAAGTTGGGTAAAATTTTGCAAAACTGGGTCAAACTCCAAGGTCAAGGTCAAATATGGTGGTACCCAAAGAAAGGTCTTGTCACAAGGAATACACATGTAAAATATGAAAGCCATAGCTCCAACCAATCAAAAGTTATGGGCAATGTTAAAGTTTTTGCGGACAAACAGACAGACAGACAGACGGATGGACAGGGCAAAAACTATATACCCCCGAATCTTCGATACGGGGGCATAAAAAAAAACTTCTGGGTTTTTTTTAACTCAACTGGGGGTTTTACCTTCAAGTTTGAAAATCTTTGAAAAGGCCAATTTCTTTCAGATAGGTCCCTTTGATAAATTTATTACTCTTTCACAGTGGCAGACCAAGAAGGGGGTTTATTTAATTAATTACAATTACTTTTTATAAGATTGAGCTACAACTTTTCTTAAAACAGGTTCTTTTCCAGCCATTATTGGTAATGTCCAATACCACATTCCTCTATTTAATGCAGGCAACATTCAAATAAATGGAGATCTATTGATCTCACTTTCTGATCGTTTATTTATAGTGACATGCAGCTGTATCTGGAGATCTATTGATCTACCTTTCTGATCGTGTATTTATAGTGACATACAGCTCTATCTGACATTATAGAAAGTCTTACCTTCCCCCGTGGACTCCATCCTCGATGCTGTATTAACTGTGTCCCCAAACAAACAATACCGCGGCATTGTTAACCCCACTACTCCAGCAACAACTGAACCTATAATATTATAAACAACAAATAATAACCCCGCAAATCTCGCAACAACTATACATATAGTAGACAACAAACAAACAATAACGAGACATGATTAACCCCACAAATCCAGCAACAACTCTACCTAGAATAGACAATAAACAATTTTGTGACATTGGTTAACCCCACAAATCCAACAGCAACTCTAACTAGAATAGACAATTAACAATATCGTGACATGGTTAACCCCACAAATCCAGCAACAACTCTACCTAGAATAGACAACAAACAAACAATTAAGTGGCATAGCTAACCAACAACTCCAGATACAACTCTACCTAGAATAGACAACAAACAAACAATTAAGTGGCATAGCTAACCAACAACTCCAGATACAACTCTACCTAGAATAGACAACAAACAAACAATTAAGTGGCATAGCTAACCAACAACTCCAGATACAACTCTACCTAGGGTAGACAACAAACAAACTATGAAGCGACGTGGTTAAACAAACCCCAGCAATTACTGTGCCTGGAGTAGACAAAATATCTGTGGTAAACTTAAGGTGTTTCTAATTTTACATCTGAAATTGAAAACTTACAATCCCCCGTGTATCTTACATCTCAGTTCTAATATTTACAATTTCTTCTTTCATTTGCAAACTATTTGTGTTGGTATAAGATACCATATTTCATATACCATACTATTTTTACAGCTACAGTGTACTATAATTATGTCGTTGAATCATCATCACTTGCAACACCACGTAATCTGTTGTCACAATTAAAGATACCTGAGTGGAGTCCTATTCGTATTTTGAGCTGTTCGTCAATGAGATGTCTTATTGTGAATGTCTGTACTTTATCTTTGATTGTCAATGCCATATCGGCAATTTCTGTGGCGTGGTAAGGTCCTATCCTTTCTGGCAAGCCTGCCACAACCATGTAAGCATCACCAATGGTTTCCACCTGAAATATTCGGGATTTACTATTTATGTCATTTCTATTCAAAATGAGTCTACATATATATATATATATATATATATATATATATATATATATATATATATATATATATATATATATATATATATATATATTAGGGATGGCAATTTATAACCGGTTAACCGATTACTCGGTCGGAACGATGGCAATCGATTAGAAAATCTGTAATCGGTTAATCGGAAAAAATAAAATATTTGTTAAATTGAACACATTTTTAAAAAAGTTATTTTAAAAAAAGAAATCTCTGCACAAAGGATGATCATTTAGGATTAAAAGGATCTAATTTAGACGTACATGTAATTAATAATCTCCAGATAGAGACCATTGCGTAACTGGTCAGTTTATGTAGTGTTAATTATTGTGAAAACACCATGTCGTTACCCCGACTGTCCTGTAATTCTTTAATGATAATAATTGAATCACTGAACACTGTGAATTGGTGTGTTTGTCGTTTTCAGTTTTCAATCCAATTTACATGTAATTATTAAACAAACATTGTAAATTAAGGGCTATAGAGTTCATGTAGTTTTGGTTATCATAGTGAAAATGCAGAAAGAACTTTTGTGACATCTGCTCTGGAAAATTATCAAAGATTTCTTAGGCTTTTTTTCATGGTTTTCTCAATTTTTTCTTGTCTACTGAAATTTAAATAAAAAATATGTACCCGTATTTTTCTGATCCAGAATCAAGACTGATGGAATGTTTTAACTTCTATCGTCTTATTTAGGTCTATTTGTGTATGCGGACAGAGCTACTTGAAAAAGAATTAAGACAACGTGCATTTTGATACGATTAACTGGTTAATCGGCCGGAACGTCTTGAGGTTAACCGATTAGCAATTTTGTAATCGATTGCCACCCCAAATATATATATATATATATATATATATATATATATATATATATATATATATATATATATATATATATATATATATATATATATATATATATATATATATATATATATATATATATATATATCAAATTTTTGTTTGTGTAACGTATCCTTAAAATTTGTTTAAAGAAAAACTACATGTGGATAAAGAATATTTTATAGATATATACAGATAGATGAGGATAAATGCGATCAAGTCAATGGCATTGTCTTGTGTTTTGTATTGTTTACCGAAGCCCGTTAATTTGCATTTTGATGAAATCAGTGCACAATAGTCACCTTGTATACTCTTCTGTCATTGATAATGGAATCAAAGCAGGTGTAGAGATCATTTAGGAAGGCTACCACCTCTAATGGCGTGCTTCTGGCAGCCAGAGCGGTGAAGCCGACGATATCACTGAAGTAAATAGTCACCTCATCAAACGTCTCCGGATCAACAGACTGTCCTAGCTGTAGACTCTTGGCTACAGATCTATAAAAAAAATAAAAGTTCTAAAATTACCAAAATCTTAAAGGAATTGTTTACTTATATGTAAAATAATGAAATATGACTTTCAATTATTTGACCATTTTTTATCATACGAAATTGATATCAAGCTTGGTTGTAGATTTCGACTTTTTAAACTCTTTTAACAGAGGTAAAGACAGTTGATGGAAGTTCAATGAGTGGTTCCAAAAGGGATAAGGTAAACATAGGTAATCAAAGATTACAGAGCTCATCTCACCGAATGTTATCTTTAAATAAGACAAAGTCCCACCTAAACAAATAACTTGTAGTGTGAATCCCTAGATGCAAAATTTATGCAAGTTTGATCCAGGTAGGGCTTGTAGTTACTTGGGATTGGACTTGTTCTAAAAACTTCAACCTGGTCAATCATAAAAAAAATGCAGATCAAATCTAGCATCCAAAGCAAATCTGATAGTGCACATTCCTAGATGCATCATCCATACATGTTTGATCCAGGTAGGCCTTATAGTTACTTGGGAATGGACCTGCTCAGAAAACTTAACCTGGTCACTAATCTTGAAAACGAAAGTCAGATCCAGCATTTAAAGCAAGTCTAGTAGTGTGCATCCTTAGATGTATCATCAATGCAAATTTGTTCTAAGATGGGCTTAGAGTTACTTGGGAATAAACCTGCTCCAAAAACTTTTAATTAACTTGGTCTCTCATCTGGAAATTATAGGTAAAATCCAGCATCCTTAACAAGTTTGATAATGTGCATCCCTTGGTACAAAATCAATAAATGTTTAGTCAAGATAGGGCTCGAAGTTACACTGACATGAACCTGTTCCAAAAACTTTAGCTAGTAACTCATCCTGAAAATGTAGGTAAAATCAAGCCTGATAGTGCGCATCCGTAGATGCTGAATTCATGCAAGTTTGGTCCTGTTAGGGCTTGAAGTTACACTGAAACGAGGGCGCTTTAATAACTTTAACCTGGTCACTCATCCAAAAAATGTATATCAAATCCAGCATCCGAAGTAAGCTTGGTAGTGTGCATTCCTTGATGCATCATCATTGCAAGTTAGGTTTAGGTAGGCCTTATAGTTTCTTGGTAATGGACCTAGTCCAAAAACTTTATCCTGGTCACTCATCCGGAAAATATACTAGGAAAGATCCAGCATTTGAAGCAAGTCCAGTCAATAGATGCATCACCCATGCAAGTTTGTTCAACATGAGCCTCATAGTTACCTTAGAATGAACCTGCACCAAAAACGTTAACCTGATCACTCATCCCAAAAATGTAGGTCAGATCTAGCAACTAAAGCAAGCCTGGTAGTGTCCATCTTTAGATATATCATTCATGCAAGTTTGGCCAATACAGGCTCCCAGTTACTTTGAAATGATACCTGCTCCAAAACTTTGACCTGTTCCAAAAACTTTAATCTGCTCCAGAAAAACATTAACTTGGTCATTCTTCGGCTAAAAATGCAGCATCTAAAACCTAACTGGTACAAAGAAACACACTAGTTAAAGCATCATCCATTTATCTCTGATCAATATAGGGCGTAGAAGTACTTGAAAAGAACTCTGCTTCAAAAACTTTAACCTGGAACATGACCACAAGGGTATTACATAAGCTACCCCAACATCGCTGAGGTGAGCTAAAAATTTACAATATAAGTATGTCAATGTGTATTAAGATTATAACCAAATATTTGAATTTGTTTTTTTTTTTGTTTAAATTGATTTCGATACTATGTAAAAATCGAAAAAAAAGAAGTAAAATGTCAAGAAATAATTGTTAACACCAAGGTTTGTTACATGTGTAATAACTTTTATGATGTCGATGAAAGGAAACACGGGATATCAATCAGTATTGTCGATAAAAATATTAATAAATTGACAATTATGCATTATTTAGTGAATTAAAGTCACCCAGGAGACAATGCTACTTTATGATCATCCATCACATTATTGTTGTTGCTGGGAGCAAAACAAAGTAACGGGAATAAAGAAAATATCCCCACCTAGGGAGCATGCGATTTAACAAATTCTCTGCTTTTCGCTTCTCTTCCACATAAGCCTTTGTCCTCTCCTCTACCAGTCCCTCCAGATTGTTGGCATACTGTTCCATTCTTCTGATCAGATTGTCCATTATATTACTTCGACCTCTGAAGGAAATAGGCCATTTTGGTGAAATGATTTTGAAAAGGAACAAAAGTCAGAGAAGGAAGTATTTTGTGACGATTACTCCTCGTTGTATTACATGTACTCTGATAATAATACATTTTTTTTTTAAAACGGATCAAATTTCTAAGTGCTGGTCTCAAAACCAGTCTGTCATGGCATATATAGCCATCTTGTTTTAAATTTGATAAAACTTATTACAAATAAAAATCTTAATTGTCAAATATACATGAAAAACCATAAAATTTGTTTAATAATGCAAACATTTTACACACCATGGTATGTTCTTGTGCTAGTATTGCAGCATGTCGAATTGGAAGTTTTTTGTTTGTTTGTTTGTTTTTTTTTTTACCTGAAAATTGTTCTGAATTTCTTCATTATGACGTCAAATGTAGGCCTTTCATCGGGATTTTCAGACCAACATTCCGTCATCAGTATATTTAATTTGTCCGAATATCTGTCGTTAAGCTGTGGTCGGAATGGTGGATTCTCTACATTTTTAATCCTTTGGACTACATCTAAAATATTGCAAAATCTAAAGTTTTTCCAGTATTTGAAAAGTTTTCTGGTTTAATTAATATATTTGCATAGTTTAGGATAACTTGAATTATTTAAATATTATGATATTTATGACGTTGGATTTCTCTTTTTTTTTTCACTTCAATTTCGTTGTCTTTTTTAGACACATTTAATAATGTCATATATTTAATTTTAAATTTATTTATTTATTTATTTTTTTGAACGAAATATTTTTCAAAATTGTACTTTATATTATTTGTGAATATTTCATGATGTATGAAATCTGATTGAAAGAAAATTAAAACTAGTATTAATTGTAACGGGGACCGTTACAGATGTTCCCCAAACGCTCCCCAACTTCCTTTTGGTGTCTTATTCCCTGTAAGCTTCATTAAATAAGGCAATCAAGTATACTGGGTATTTTACGCATTACACGCGCGCGCACGGGCATGTATGTACAAAATGACCATGTCAACTTGTCTACACTTTTAATACATCTTTATATTTAAATTTCATTAAAAGATTTTAAAAAATCGGCTATATTAAGTATATCTGTCATTTTACGCATTGCATGCGCGCACGTGCATGCATGTCCATGATGACCGTGTCATCTTGTCAACACTATTAATATATCTAAATATTTTTGGTATCAAATCATTTCATCAAAAAGTATAAAAGATACAGCTATATCAAGTATATTGGTCATTTTAACATTGCATGCGCGCGCACGTGCATGCATATGCATGTTGAGAATGTCGTCTTGTCTACATTTATACTTTGTCTATATATTCTGAATATCAAAGCATTACATCAAAAAATGGAAATGTTATGGCTATATCAAGTATATTGGTCATTTTACTCACTGCACGCGCACGCACGTGCATGCAAATGCATGCATGTGCGCGCTGATCATGTCATCTTGTCTACACTTCTAATATATATTCATATTCTGAGTTTCAAAGCAATTCATCAAAAAATATACAAGTTAAGTCTATATCATTTGTATAGGTTATTTCAATCATTGCGCATGCGCACACGTGCATGCATATGCATTCTGACCATGTCATTTTGTCTACACTATTAATATATCCTGATATCCTGAGTATCAAAGCATTTCATCAAAAGATATGAAAGTTATGGCTATATCAAGTATATTTGTCATTTTACTCATTGCACGCGCACGCACGTGCACGCACGTGCATGCATGTGTGCGCTGATCAAGTCTTCTTGTCTACACTTCTAATATATATTTATATTCTGAGTGTCAAAGCAATTCATCAAAAAATGTCCGAGTTAAGTCTATATCAATTGTATTGGTTATTTCAATCAATGCGCATGCGCGCACGTGCATGCATATGCATTCTGACCATGTCATCTTGTCTACACTATTAATATATCCTTTTATTCTGAGTATCAAAGTATTTCATCAAAAGATATGAAAGTTATGGCTATATCATGTATATTGGTCATTTTACTCATTGCACGCGCACGCACGTGCATGCACGTGCGCGCAAAATGACCTTCGTTCCGCAAATCTACATAACATTCCTATTAACCCTAAAAAGGTTTCAACTCAATCGGATGAATAGTTTCGGAGATCACTCACGGACAAAAAAGTACCCAGGAAGAAAAATAATAATAATAATAATAATAATAATAAGAAACAGAGTAAAAACAATATGTTCCCAAACTTCGTTTGGGGAACATAATAAGTTATTGTGTTATCTGAAAAACGAATCTTTGTGTACAGTATCTGATTTAAATTTGAAGACATCACCTTTAAATCTATTAATAAGGCATCAGTATTGCATTTTGGTATGAAAAAATTAATCTAATCCTCTCTAAATTGATAAATTTTACAACTCTAATGGACACGGATCATCTGATAAAAAAACCCGTACCAACTGCAGTCATAGCGTAGCTATCGAATGGGGCAGTTCTGTCTGCAATCTCTTGGAGGATAATTCCAAAACTGTACACATCCCCTTTCTGTGTTCCAGGGCTCCAGTCTGTCGATCGCAGTATTTCAGGGGCCGTCCACAAAAATTCTGAATAAAACGGAGCCCGCAATGATTGATATCATATTTAATACTACGAAAATATTACCAAATTGTTAGAAAACGAAACATATATTTCACCTAATTCACAAATGTTTGCAAATTCCTGCAAAATCTTAGGCATTGACATTAGACTTCTATTGCAGTTCAACATTGACATCCCCACCCTAATGATTCGAAGGAACCAAAATTTACAGTGCATGATGATCAAGTTAACATCATAGCCTTATTCATGTGGATGTCTTAAATTTTAATTACACACACATCTCAATAACAACTGAACCTCTTTTGTGTCACATCTGGTCCCCGATGACTGTAAAGCTTTATCATACTCATACTCTTTATAATAAAAAAGTTTCAAGTTTTCAGAGTTTTTTTTTGACAATTATAAATTCTTATATACATGTTAACATCCAGTACTAGTATTCATAATAAAGGGTCCTTAATATGATCCAAACTAGTTCCGGTGACATTAAATTCTGACTGTATCTCAACACATTTTGAAAGAAAATGTCACTATAATTTTAAAAAAATCACCTTTTTAAAGGATAATAACCTTAAATAACCGACCTCATTTAAAATATACACATGTACATGTATACTTAAATGTATCTTGTTTAATTCAAAAGCAATACTATTTATCATTAAGATTAAGCATAACAATGATTCATATTTTCTATCCAATGACATCACATAAAAATGCATCAATTTCACGGAAGTATATATACATACTATTAAAATTAACTGTTGATTTTTTTATTGCCTCTTTTTCATAAAAACACTTTGGACCATAACATCGTAATTTCAACAAGAACCTTTGGTCAACAACACACGCAGAACTGCTCAGTCGACCATGAACTTTGATGTCACTTCCATGCAAGTAATTCATTCCCTGGAAATAAAAAATCGAGAGTGTAGACCGCAACACGCATGAAAATAATACTAACTTCTGTCATTTTATTACAGTCATGGTATATTCTTTAAGAAAGAGAATTAATAATATCATGAAGGACAATGGTGATGAAATTCATATTAAAGCATTAAAGTGGAAGAAACATCACCACTAGAAAGTCTCGTATCATATTAGACCTAGTATTGGGATAATTTAAAAGAAATTGTTTCACATTAGTGTTTCACTAGGAATATCTACTGACCATAATGATATCTTGGATGAGAGAACATTTGAACGTCCAGTCCAATTCGATGCTTTCGTTTTGCAAAATATCCTGTATAGTACAAAGAAAAATACGATAATTATTATCGCTATAATATTCCTTTTTTGACGATATCTACTTTATTTAATATTCCACACGAGTAAAGTCATTGAGGACAGTAAACACGTTACAAGACCATTGTCAACAAAGAACCATCACCAAGGACAGAAAATAAGATGGGAGATGACTCAATCAAAGCATTGAGGACAGTAAACACAGATACAAGACGACCGTCAAAGCAGCAGGCGTCATTGAAGACAGAACAAACTGATACAAGACGAATGTCAAAGCCGAAGGCATCATTGAGAGCAGTATATACAGATAGAAGACGGCTACCAGAGCTTTAGGCGTCATTCAGGATCCTTTACACATAAACAAGACGATTGTCAAAGCAGTGAACGTCATTAAGGACACTATTTGCAGAAACAAGACCAGAGTAAAAGCAGTATGCATCATTGAAGACAGATAACGCAGATACTAGACGACTCAAAAAGCAGTAGGTTACTTGATAAAAGGTATTCACAGATGCAAGACGCTTGCCAAAGCAGTGAGCGTCATTGAGGACAGTATGACGGCTTTCAGTGCTGTAGGCGTCACGGAGGACATTGTTCAGATAAAAGACCATATTCAAAGAGTAAGCGACATTGAGTACAGTATACACAGATACTACTGTCAAAACAGTAGGACAGTATACACAGATACAAGATGATTGCCAAAGCAGTGGGATTCAGTGAAGACAGTTTTCACAGATACAAGACAACTGTCAAAACAGTAGAAGAGTATACATGGATATAAGGCAATTGTCAAAGAAGTAAGCGTCTTAGAGGACAGTATTCGCAGATACAAGATCCCTTTCAAAGCAATAAGCGTCATTTAGGACAGCATACAAAGATACAAGACTACTGTCAAATAAATGAATGTCACCGAAGACAGTTTAATCATTTTTGAAAGACCACTGTCAAAGAAGTCAACTTTTTCAAGACACTTAGCAACAGAATATTGCATTTGTGATAGTTGATTTTTATTAAGTCTGTGTAAAACCTGAAACAAATACCATTGTAAAACTTAAATATCTTTACCATCTTTTAGACAATAAAACATAAGAAAAGACCATAACTGAAGCAGTATTTAATTTTCTTAAGAAAATAAATGCAAACAAGATTTTATAAAAAGAGTCATAAACATTGACAAAAAATCATTATTAAACTACTTTGCTTTTTATATATTAAACACAGATTCCCACCCGAACCATTGTCAAAGCACTAAATATTTTCTAAGAAAACAAACACAGAAACAGATTCATTGTTGATACCTGTAAACTTCCTTTAGGGCAATATTCCATCATCACGGATATTTTTCCCACGTCGACACAGGCGCCTATGAAAGCGGCAACATTTGTATGCCGTAAAGAAAGCAACTAAAATGAAATTGAGAAAATTTCATTTCAATTCCTACTGACATGTAAAGTTCACAATTTCAATTTCAAAATGAATCATCACACTTGCTTGATAGGCATGTTGAAATTATATCTTCAAAGAATTTTAATGAATTGGAATTGTTATTTGATTTTTAGAAGCTTTTAAAAACCTGCCTATAATTTTCTATGATTCTTTTTTTTCTGATATTTGGTATACGAACATTTGAACATACTGTTCCAAAATGTCATTATGTTCGAAAATTAGGGAAATTGTTTATTTATTGCAAATCAAAATCTGGGATAATTAAAGATGACAGCAGAAAAATCTTGTACATTTAAAATTTCCATCTGCTAGAAGCAAAAGTAAGACGTCTTAAAATGTAATATTTTACGTTGTCCTTGGGAAAAGTCCAAGCGCTCACTTTAAAATAAAACAAGTCTAAGAAAAGACAGCTATGAAGAAAAATTACAGTGTCTCCATAGATAAGGTATATTAAACGTTTATTATATGTTGCCCTTCTGTACAGCGGGTATATTAGAATTATCACATATGTTGGAAACGTTTTATTGTTTTAATGTCTATCACATTTAAGGTGAAATTGATTGTTTAGTATGGCTGTGTTTTATTCTTTCTCCTCGAATGTTTCTGTATACTTTCCTGACCAAACAAGTAATATGAATTCGAACGCCTCACTGCTTTTTATCCCGGGAGTAAATTATAACTATTATCTTAAAGCACAAAAATGTACATTTTTAATTGACTCTACCTGTTTCAATTCAATTAGGTTGTTTTTATTGAGGTCGATGGAAGAAAAAGCGAATTTCCGAATAGCCACAATAACTCCTCTGCAGAAAGCGATAGTAGTGAAAACTTGGCGAGTAGTCTCATAGGTCCTTGTGGATAGAACGTCTGGTTCACTCGCTGAATCTTGCTTAAAGTTGGAAACACATAAGATATAATTAGAAACAAATACATTTTATAAGATAAACTTATCATTGTAGAATAGCCAAATTGAACACTCGGTGGTATGGGATTTTGTCAAAATATTTATACTTGTGTATTCTCTAGACTGCCCCACATGAGCATAGCCTTACTTCTAAATACTTACTTGTCTTGAAAAAACATATTATTCGACATCAAAGTTTAAGCATTTTAAAACCATTTTAGTCGAATTAGATGAAATATGGAGATAACGTACAATATTCAAGCTCAAAGTCTGTTAAAACAATACAAATCGGGAGCAGAGCAAACACGAACCTCCAAAAACATCAGAGGTGGGATCAGGTGCCATGGTTACAAATGACACATTTTTTCTAAAAAAATTTCAAATGTTCATTTCGGTCATTGTAGCCAAGTGTACGAGGGGAAAGTTGCTATCAATATCGTTCCTTAAGTCAATTCTAAATATGTGCTACATCATAACGTCACTGACGGCGAGAAATCACGAATAAATATGGATCCTTTCCGGAGTGTAAAAGTTACATTTTTTTCTGTCAAATTCAGGATGAATATGCTGTGTCAGGTATACTTGCCGAAGAAATTTTTGGAAATCTGACATAAAGTTTGAACTCCAAGGAATTAAGCGATTTGAGACATGGAGACATGGGAAAAGTGAGGACTTTTTTGGGGGGGGGATGATTCGAAAATGTTTTAGATCAATTGCAAATGCGTTAAAGTTAAAACACATATTGTTCCACATAAAAGTTACACAAAATGAAATAAATTAGGAATAAACATACAACGGTATTAAAAGATTTGTAACTTCCAAACGCCATTGTCGATCCTGTGAGCTTAAGCTGAACATGTTCCCAATTTATCTTCCACTTCATTTCGTATAAAGCATGGTTCTTTCTGTAATTAAAAATGAATATCAATATTTGGAAATGTTGATATTTTTACAATATCAAGTCTTTGATTAATATGATCGTATTTTCCAGAATTCAACTGACAGACAATAAATCAAGATATTTTTTGGTGAATATTACTTGAAATAACTCTTAGATACAATATGTACATGTATGTGGCATAATATATACTTGAGAGATAAACAACGATACCTGTGGAAATGATATCCTATGACAAACAGAATACAAAATGCTATGACGATGAATAGGAATCCAATTCCTATGATCAGGGTAGTTTGATCCACTGAAATTGATAACCGAAACGTCACTCATATATGTCACTGTAAGCATGAATTGCTCTTCTCCATAAAATAAACCCGATTTAACGTCTGTAGATATGTATTGTCTTCCCACAAATTATTAATTATTATTAATATTTAAATAGAAAAGTTGTTGTTATGACTATTTAAATAGTAATAACACCTAATTTTCTATTTTAATAAAAAGCTTTCGGAAGACAATATCTATCGCTGAGGCAGTTAGCAAAGTGACTGCAATCAAATTTTGCATGTATTTGGAATGATTTGTCTTTTTACATCTTAAAATGATACCCATATTTATGCCCTCGTACAAAACAAATACAGTTCATGCGGAAAGTACTCTTTAAACTAAATAAAACATCGAAAAAAACAAACAAACAGCAAACAAGCAACAAAATCAAAAAGTTGCAAACATATTGATCTGCATCAATTCAACAATTCGGAATAATTATGTGTTGTGTCTTCAATATATCCTAGAAGGCTCCTTTACCGTTTCTTATACAGAGCTCTCCACTAAATCCACATGCAGGCACATCCACCGGAAGTCCTTTAATCCACTTAATATCAATTCCTGCCACAGGACTGTAGTTTAAGGTAGCTCCATAAAACTTTCCTACAACCTTCATTAAAAGGGTAACATATCATTGGCTTTCAAGAGTTACATTTAATTTTAATTAATATGTGTAAGGATCGGGGTACCTGTACATAAATCATTTGTATAATTTCATTTTCCAACATTGTTGGAAAAGGCAATTTCCTTTTCTGCATATACACGTGATCTATAAAAGTCACCAAACTGCATCGACAACAAAAGATTAATGCTTTTCAATGTCATGGTACTATGTTAATTTTTTTCCGAAACATATTAATATTACAATAACATTGTTTTCTAACAGCAAAAACCGTTCAAATTAGATCAATTGCTTGATAATAAAATACAAATCTTACTTCAAATTGAGGCGGATCAGAGTTTTTATTTCGCAGATCAAACACATCAAAGTCCGCAATTCTATCACCGTATTCATCAATAGCTATCACCTCATCAAGAGCAGGCACTACCGAAACATTAGCAATCAAATAAAGTTTGACAGAACTCTCTTTCATCACGTTATCATGTTGTAAATTTTGAATTTACTAGGTGGGGTAAATGAAAAATTTACCAGTAAATTCAAAATTTACAACATAATAACGCGCATTTGACATAGCCTCTTAAACAGGGTTTTCTATTTCCAACACTATATGTCTGATGAAAATAATTCTATTATACAATTTAAAGTACTTTCGGATATCACTTATTCCAAATTACAAACTTGAAAATATATGTAGACAATTCTTATGGAGTTTGACCATTGCAAAACATAAGGAAATCTAAAAAGCTTAAGACCCAGCAAACAAGGACTTGCAGTATTAAACTTGAAGAATTTGTCGTTTTACCAACTGGGCAGCACGGCATTCAAACATTCATTTAAAACATTTCCTCCGGATGATAAAATTATATTGTCATACAATCATCATTACGTATATATCTGATACGTTATTAAGAATTCTGAAGAGAAATTAAAAAGTTTTTTCAACAAAAGCAGGCATTTTTCTGATCACCTTTGTACGTTTGATTCCAGAGTTTTCTGGCAAGTGTATAGCCGTCATTCAGATCTCCACCTTCCTGGATGGTTGTGTTAAATGCAATGGCAAGGTAAATAACACTGGCATAAAAAGCTCTGATAAAATAATTATCCTGTGAATGAGAATTCATTGATTTTAATGGGAAAAAGTACAATATGGGAAAATATGCTTTATTAAACAAGAACGCTTGTACTGGTTTTTAAATATGCGTTCTCTTCAGAAATTTACGGTTATGTATAAATAACGTGACCTACAGTATCGCTTTGGTCCAGAATGTAGCCATAATCCTTGAAGGCTCGGGCCTGCACCTCACTTTTGAAGTGGTCGTGCTGCACCCCTCCCTGTCGCATCAAAGAGAGGATGAGGACAGATTCGTACGCCACTCTGACGTATTCATTCTTGTAGGAATCGTCTGTGATACAAAATTATATAGGCAATGCCTGCTGCTTAATTCAATTGCGTATAGTTTTAAAGTTTTAATTTTCACTCTGGAGTCGAAAAACGACGTTTTTCTACAAAAATCTGCTTTTCAAGAATCGTTCTTATTCGAGAGGCAAATTAGGAGCCGAAAAACGACGTTTTTGTACAAAAAGCAAAAAGCAAAATCATCGTTTAGAATATGATAACTGGTATTCTGTAAATTTGCAATAAGGTTTCCGAATTTTCTTTTTCGTCCTCGGGCCGAAAATTTATACAATGTATATGCCTTAAAAAATTCTTTCCAAAACTCCTGTTTAAAAAGAACTTACGAACCATTAAATTTCTTCAAGTTCAAACTGGTCACGAATTTATGAAATACTAACACAAAAGGCCCATGGGCCGCATATTTACGTTCAATTTGATACTTGTACATTTATTTGAACAGTACATGTAGAAAAACCTATAGTCCCCTCCGATTTCACCGGTAGGGGACTAATAACTATTGCTAGTTACCCTGGTACGAGGTACTTGCTTACTTGCGGGTATTACTGTGTGACATGTGTGACGAGCCCTTGTTTTTACCCCAAGAAAGCAACGGGGACTTTAATCAAAGATAATGTTTCTTTTATAAACATTCATTTAAGCAAGTTTTTATTTGTAAAGAAGAAAATCACTTACTGTATGATTGATCAGTGAACCTTTTGTAGAATCCCCAGTGAGCGCTAGGAAAAAGTTCAATGGTAATGAACACGTAGTCTCCATGAACCATATTCTGTGTGTAGGCGAAATACATCACGTCCCTGAACTGCCGGGCTTGTGCCAGTATAATAAACACTAAAAAAAAGTAATACTTTTACTGCATTCAGCCATTGTTTCATATCTGTTCATAATAGCCAGATAGATGAATAATGGATTGATAGATAGTTAGAGAGAGAGAGAGAGATCATAATTGCTCCCTTTTTACTAAAACAAATGCGATGCTTTAAGCAACTTATCGACCCCTACATCAACCGAACTTATAACAGAGTGGATAAAATAAAATAAAAAAACGAAATTTTACTATTACACAATCATTTCTTTTTTCTTTCTAAAAGACCCATTTCCCTTACATAACATTTACGAGAACCTTTGGGAACAGGACAACCCCTAAAAATCTTTAAAACGTCTAAATCTCAGATCTGAAGTGACGTCATACCCGAAAATTAACCAACCAGGTTCAAATAATTATTTATCATAATAAATAATTATATCATCAAAATTTGCAAGAATAGTGAACAAGTCTTACACATTTTTTTTTTTTTTTAAATATGGTTCTAAATTAACGCACTTTGAAAAAAAAAAATTCAAAGTGCGTAATTTTTCAAAGTGCGTTGTAACATAGATCTACAAATGTTTCTCCTTTTGAATAATTAATTTCCAAGTTCAATTTACTGTCTAATCAATTAATTCACATTTGCAATTAACATTTCTATGGAAATTATCAGATTAACAGTTCATACTCATTTCCAGATTGATGATCAATGTCTATCTGTTCGAATGTATTATTGCAATACTGCTCGCAGGGTATAATATAATGTAAAATGTAGATTGAAAGATACAATTTGACATCAAGAATGGTTTATTTGCTCACAAATAATGGTATTCGTCATAAACACAAAGACTTTGTGTTTGATATATATTAAGTAATGTGCAATTCGTAATATGCTTTGTCATTTATTTTGACCAGTCTTTAGTATTTTACACATCGCTCAAATAAAAAAAACCTGATGAGAAACTTTTATATTTCAAAGCCAAAAAACAAAAAGAAGATATTTAGTAATTGTCACATTAAAGTGTAAAAGTAATTTAAATATATGAAATAAAAATGAAGAGGAAAACTGCACATTGACAAAGCTGAATAAGATCGAAATAAATAAATTTGTCGATCACACCTCTAGCATGCCTCGAAGCCTCGGATAGGATACCAGAGAAGTTATCAGTGGATCGGGGGAAGGGTTTCTCGTACGGCCTAGTGAGTGTGTCGTCCTTCCGGAAGTCCTGTGCCAGATTTTTTCCTACTCGCCGGAAGAACACTTCGTCTTCGTCATATAAGATGGCGGTGTGTTTCCATCCGTAATGGAGCAAAATTTGTTTCATTGAAACTAAAAACAAAATCGAAATAGGCCTAATTCCATTTTTCGTTATTGAAATGACAGAGAAGACTTGTACAGAAATGTCAAAAATTATCCTTCTAAGAAAAATCATCTTTAAATAACTCTTCAAATAACGATCAGAAGCGTTTTGAAAGAATTTACAGAAATTTCTATTTTAAGTATAATGACAACACAATTCTTCAAAATCTTAAGAATGTAGATGTAATAACAATTGCATCAATATGATTACATCAATCTTATTTTTGAATTATGATGTGATCAAGCAGTTTGCTAGCGTTTATGCATAAACTTATCACGCAAGCAATCTGGTTGATCATCATCATCATAAAACCAAAAAGCAGACCGTTATTATTTATATAGTTTACATTCTGATCCTTGATACAATAAAAATGATGTAATTACGTTATTTTTATTCAAAAATTAGAAATCTAAGTCTGCAAGTCCCGCCCAATGTATTACTATAAGCCACAGAAATATACACGTTGTTCTGTCACTTGCTGAGCAAATGGCTGTATGAAGATATTAAGCTATTTCCTTATTTATACTTTCTAGCACAAAGAAATTTGCAAAGTAAATTTTATTTATATTTTTTCGGTTCACGTGCATAGGCTGATAAAGTGAATACATTCAAGATTAACATGGGATCGTGTGAAGTTGAATGCCCATCTTTGTCATGTATGTTCAACATGGGATCGTGTAAAGTTGAATGTCCATCTTTGTTATGTATGATCAACATGGGATCGTGTAAAGTTGAATGTCCATCTTTATCATGTATGTTCAACATGGGATCGTGTAAAGTTGAATGTCCATCTTTTTATGTATGATCAACATGGGATCGTGTAAAGTTGAATGCCCATCTGTGTCAGATATGTTATAGTTATTCTTCTATTTTGTCTATTATTTCCAATGTCAATGTCGTAAAATATGTGTTTTAACATGTAAACTGCTGCATAAACAATTTAATTACTTAGAAACTTACCTGACATTTTATCAATGGAGTATGACAAAATGGTTGTGGTTTCATATCCTTTCTTATCTATGTGGGACCGCTCCATTAAATCCCCAACACCCGTGACAAGAGGAACCCTCAAGTATTCTGCCAGAAGCCCTCCCGAAGCCACACCTTGAGAGCACGCCGGGCCGAGAAACACACGGACATTCTTGTAGTAGTAGAGATCTGATATTTTCCCTAAACTTTCAGTCAAAGCTCCATCGCAGTCAGTAGAATAATTAAACAAAATTGAATTGAAGTTAACATTGTATATATCCTTAGCATCCCGGACACCCATGTCTATTGCAGGCGCAATGCGAGGCATATCAAACGGAAGATAATTTTCAGTCATTAAAAGAACACCAATATCTTTCTGAAAACTTAACGAGGATACAATTAACGATGCAAAAATATAATAAAGACAAGCTCTGCAATTTCTCTTCATATTACTAGTATTTGACTATCCCATGTGAAGTCTGTCTACGTAATGTCGGTCTCCTTATATAGCCCTTATTTATATGACTTACTCGTTACTTAATTGAAGATGAAAAACGAGAAAAAAAAGCCTTGGTCATTGTATGTGAATATATATAACGTAATAGTATTATAGAAGAATAGGGTGAATAACAATAAATATGTGAGATACAGGTATTTGTTGTTATTATCTTCTCTTAATTAATTAATATCTATACACAATTCTGAATTTTCATTTCAAGTAGGGATAATGTAATCGATTTTCCAATCGTATCGTTACATGTATATACTAATATAAATAGACACTAAAGGGAATACAGGAGAGAATATCATCTATAACCTGAAGAAATATTATACAATAATTGCTGTTCCAGTCAATATAATGATTTATCCACCTGGGAAGTTCAATTTTCACCAAGCCCGAAAGTGTTCTTTAAGGGAAGTTAAATCATCGTATTGTCTGAAATAAAAATTCCAGTAGTTATTGTTTTGTTGCATATGATTAAATGATATAAACTCGGTAAGCAAATTTTGTAATCTTTCTTGATTGTTTATCAAAGTCCTCGCCGAACGCAGAAAAGTAACATAATAAGTTGCTTTAACCTGGAATTTATTCACCTAGTTTTGATGTGATGTTGAAATAAAAAAAAAAAAAAACCAGAAAATTTGTTTACCTGAAAGTCGGGTGCAGATGATATAACTTCTCATAACCATTTATGTTAATTTAGAAGTTTATCTATTTTTGGACCAATAGGAAAAAATGATGATGTTATGTTCACCTGGAAGGGTGGGTGCATGTGAAATAACTTTTCATATCTGGAAGTTTGCGTTAACATAACTTATTATTATACCTCATATAAATAATTACTAGTAAAATAGAATCTGATTGGCCGAGACAGTCACCTGCAACAAAACTTCGTGTTTCACGTCGTGTTTCACAATTATGACGTCACAATGCGGCGTCTGAGTTTACTACTGAGTTCTTGAGCGAGACTGTTTACACCGTTGATTGATTGTGTCAATTCAAACGTGTAAAATATAAATATTTAGAAAAGTGTTTTCATGGGTAGGGTTTTAATGTTACTGGTGTAAAAATTACACTTACTTCTCACGAAGGAATCTTTTTTATGAAGCGCGACTAATGGTGTAACTCACTTCTTTTACATTAAATTGTTCTTATCAAATGTTTACTTTATTCATTGGATTTTCTTCATATTTCCTGCCTTGTGCTTGATTCGGTATAATAAACAATTTATTGCATGATAGTGAGGGAGACATGAAGATTTCTTCGCCCATGAAAAATCATATTCCCCTCGGGCGTTGCCCGAGGGGAATATGATTTTTCATGGGCATGCAATATAGCCCGAGGGGAATATGATTTTTCATGGGCGAAGAAATCTTCATGTCTCCCTCACTATCATGCAATAAGTGTATAGTATGATTTCAGAATGTTGGATCTCAGCCAATTAGAGAGCTGGGAATTACATACATGTATTCAATCATATGATAAAAGTTGTTATAATTCATGAATGAAAGAAAAATATTCAAGATAATTTTTTGACAGCATAAAGCGTTAAATTATTTTTTTAACGCCTCTAATGAGGGACTGCCCCCTAAAATATAATTTCTTTCCTCTTGCTTCCATGACACATTGAGTATATGCTTTAAATTATTAAATAATCGTTAACTGATGTATTTACCCCCCAAATTTGTTTTGCACATTTTGCCTCATGTGAGGCCCACAAGCGGAATTAAGGTTTCAAAATCAATATTTCTGTATAAAGAGACACTTTAACCTAATCTTTTCCATCACATTATAAGATTTCTTTGACTTAATTGAAGTTTTGGAACAAACATGCAGTATTGAAATATTTTTGATTTATATTTTCTTGAGATTACTACCTGTTCATACAATTCAACGTATTGAACATACTGTCATATGACTTTTAGTCATAACACCAAATTTTCTATTTTAATAAAAATTTGTGGGATGACAATACTTTCAAAAGTGGACAAATTTCTAGTTACAATTAAGAAACAAATATAAACAATCAAGAAAGATTAAAAGGTTTGCTCGCCGAGTTTATATCATTTAATCATATATAACAAATCAATAACTACTGGGATTTCTATTTCATTCAATACGATGATTTAACTTCCCTTGTGTTGCCTTTTTATCTTAAAGGTGCTTAGACACAGATTTGAAGTTTATATTTTCTCAAATTTTCTGCATAATATCACGACTTATATATTGCAATAGCATTTCACACGAAAATATAATTAAAAACTTATTTTATCTGGAAATTATTGGAACTACGAATTCCTGGACGCGTTTGATTTACACATCCTTGCACTTTCACAAATTTTATCTTTATCCCTAATATTCAAGAAAAGAAGCGATTTTGTTGTGTATTAATGAAAAACATTACATCTATAATCCAGAAAATTCAGAGTAGAAATGTGCGAAAGCAAACCCCCTCACTAATATCGTCAGCCCGTGCTCAGTGTTGTGTACAGAGTTTAACAAATTGAATACACCCTTGAAACGTAAACTGTTTTTGTAAACAGGGCACGAGCTCTGTTATTGTTAATGTTTACGATTCACCGGGTGTGTTCAATTGTTAAAGTCTGCACACACCACTGAGCACGGACTGACAATACTGTGAGTGGGTTTTGCTTTCGAACATTTCTACTCTGAATTTTCTGGATTATAGTTTTAATATTTTTCATTAATACACAACAAAATTGCCATTTTTCTTAAGTATTAAGAATAAAACTAAATATTGTGAAAGTGCAAGGATGTGTCAATCAAACGCATTCAGAAATTTGAAGTTTCAATAATTACGAGATGAAATAAGATTTTTATTATATTTTAGTATGAAATGCTATAGCAACATATAAGTCATGAAATTTTACAGAAAATTTGAAAAAATATTAACTTCAAATCTGTGTCCAAGCACCTTTAAGAAAAAGAGTACAAATATGAATTCTGAATATTGATTTACATATATATGTCATTGGGGCATGATCGTTCAGTATCTGAAAACCATAATTTGTCTGTCTTTCATTAACGTTACTTATGAAGGGTTAGAGCAAAGTACAAGTTGTTTTTAAATTTTTAGCTTATCTGATTCAAAGGCTCAAGTGAGCTTTTTTTTTTTTATTGAAGAGTGTCCGTCTGTCCGTATATCTGTCTGTCGTCAGTAAACTTTTCATATTATAGACCTCTTCTAAGAACCATATTGCCAATTTCAACCAAAGCATTCTTGGGTGAAGGGTTTCAGGTTTGTTCAAATGAAGGGACACGCCTTCTTTCAAGGGGAGATAACTAAGAATTGGTGAAAATCTAAAGGCATCTTTTAAAAATCTGATTCTCAATTAAGAACCACTGGGCCAGAAAAAGATGAAACTTTCGATACACAAAGTACAGATTCAATTTTGTTCAAATCCTGACTCCATGGGAAAGATGTGGCCACAGAAAGAGATCAAAGTTTTACATTATATGGGAAACATCTTCT